AAGTGATTGGATGAGCGTTTTAAAAGCATTGAAAAGAGAAACCTCTTTATATACTGACGAGGCTGGTTGACTCACAATTTAAAACTAAATACTCCTCATTACAGGCAACACTGACAGCTGAAAAAACAAGATTGAAGTCAATCTGAGCATGCTGAACAGAAGATTGACAAAACTGAAGAAAATCCACCAAAATAAGCCGGGCCTAATAATTTTTCTACATCATCATCATCATTACTCTGGCAATTTATTGATAAAATTATTCAGTCTACGTCCGCTAGTGGCAGGGCACATAAACAACAATTACTAAAAGGCATTGAAACTCAGCTAAGGAAATATCCGAAAGAACCAGAAATAAATAGACACAATGATCCACTACTGTGGCGGAGTGACAAAATCCCGGAAAAAAAGTTCAATAGAATTACTATAAACTTTTAAAACATATGGCCTATAGAATTTCTTTAGAATTTCTATTAATTTATATATAGAAATTGCTATAAAACTTTTTAAATAACAACAATGAAGTTTAACAGAAAACAGCAGTCACTTGGTATTCTGAATAGTCCACATTGTTGACCATGCTCAACACCAATTAGGGATGTACAGGATTTTGGCTCCTGTAGTTTTGTTTTGAAATCCGGCTCCGGCTCCGATTCCGGCCGGATCTGTCAGTAGAAATCCGGCAAATCCGGCTCCGGCCGGATTTGAAAAAATTAAATCCGATGCTATATATAAACATTTTCTATACATAAACGTTGTCTATATACCAATGCAACTGATTATAATTTTTAAAAATTATAATCAGTTGCGTTGGTATTTGGAAAATCATTAAATGACATCTCTGTAACCCCAAGTATGTTGGTTTTATTTAAGGAGCGTTAATGTGTAAGAAAAATCATAACAAAATTTATCGCTGAACTCGAGTTTGAAAGCCATTTCTTAAAGTAAGAGTTAGTTCTTGAGAATAAATCAATTCTTTCGACTGGGTTAATTTAATCTGTCTAACATCACGCATAGTAACAGGTTTTTAATAAGAATTGCAAGCTGTTTTGTTATTTTTTTGTTGTTTCATTAACTTTTTTAACAATAGATAAATCATATAGAATCAAACTAGGTACTCAAAGTAAAAAATCCAAAAAAATTAGTTATGAAAATGACCATGATTAACACTTATGTTGACCATAATGTAACACTTCTTTAAATTTATCTTCAAAAAAAATTGAGATAATTGAGACAACTGAGCCTAATAAAAACAAAACTGTCGGTTATCGAATTGTTGATACTGAAATGTAATTATACAACTATGTTTAAAAAAAATGTTCACAATCAAAAATAAATTTTTCAGAATGTTTTCCCAAAAAAAAAAAAAAGGATTCAGGTCAATGTGCACTAACTGTAATGAAAAGATTCAATTTTATGCTTCATAGACATGTTCTGGGAAAAAAACTTTTGATGTAAATAATAGAATAATTTATTCAATGCGTACATGTGGTCAAGGTTTTTCAGGATTAGAAAAATGCATACTTTAATGTACCCTATGACTAAAAATAACTGGAACATAATAAATAATTCGATTCGAATTAAAAATATATTCGAAATAAAAAGCGATTTTGAAAATGAATAATGCGTGCTGCATGATTCTGTTGTTTAAGGAGGCAGTCGAGTTTAGATTTATTTGTACTACCCCAAACAACATTGCCATAAGATAAATAACTATTTATGAATGCAAAATATAGTTGAGTTAGTGTAGATTAGTCTAAGATTTGTCTGGTTTTATATAAAATGCCAATACTTCTTGAGATTTTATTGCTAATATTTTAAAAATGATCTCTCCAGGATAAGTTTTCGTCTATCAAAATATCAAGTAATTTATTTGTGAATGAGCGTTCAATTTTGGTGTTATTTATATACAGCATTGGTAAGGATTTTTGAATTTATTGAAACTTTCGTTTAGAATGGAATAAGGAAAACTTAGTTTTATCAATTTTTAAAGATAGGCTGTTAGCAATAAGCCAGTTTGATACTTGTTCTAGTTTATTATTTGCTACTTGAAATAGAGAGATAATATTAATATGAAAATAGAATAAAATGGCGTCGTCTGCAAACATAATAGTAGAGATAGTATTTGATGTTGACATAGATTAAGAACAGCAGCGGACCTAAAATTGAGCCTTGTGGAACCCAACATGATATTTTAAGTTTGTTTGTCTGAAAGCCATCATTTAGAAAAATAAACTGCTTTCGATTAGTTAAGTAACTGGTAGACCATTTATGGTTTTCGTGGCTTATTCCATAAAATTTTAGTTTTTCTAATAAAATCTGATGGTTAACGATTTCAAATGCTTTTGACAAGTCAAGGAATATACCTAAGGTGAATTTGTTATGAGCAGATGCTCCAATGATAACTTCAACAAGTTTCATAAGTGCATGTTCCGTAGAGTAATTTGATCAAAAACCATATTGGTTATAATAAAATATTTAAAGTGACACAAATGGATAATGTTTCTCCATTACTGTGCAAAGGCTAGAGCTACTCCAAGGAAAGGATTCATTTTTTGTTTATGGTAATTTTTTTAGATGCCCCAAGAAGTCCGTACGGTCTTATCACAGTGCACTGTGGATGAGCATTTAATAGGAAGTACATGCCTCTTATAAAAATATTTATAAACGTGAGTTTTCATCATATTAATCTAAAAAGAACACAGTTGGTGTCACTTATTTTTTTACAAATAAAAAATACATTTTTACAAATAAAAAATCTCGATACATCGAAAATTTTGATTTATTTCTTACCTAAGTTTAAAATTTACAACACCATATTAAATCCTATTGAAATTTTTTAACAGCTGTTAAAAAATGCACATTTGACCTTATGCCACGCAAGAATTAAACAATTTTATGCGTGTTTTGTAAAAATTAAAGATTTATGAACTGTAAAATGGCGTCCAATCAAAAGTTTTCACGAACTGACTGAAAAAAAAAGTAGTTTAAAAGAAAAAACAATTCACACCGCCTTATATTCCTTGACCAGGCATCGAACCTCGGACCTCTCAATTATAAGCCAGCGCTACACGGCTGATTAAATTTAGCTCTGATTCAAATTAACAACAAATAAAACACATACCGGAAAAAACGCAGTTATAAAGTCGATCGAAAAAACAGTAGGTCGAAAATAAAGTAGGTTGAAAATTCAGTAGGTTGAAAATTGAGTAGGTTGAAAATTGAGTAGATTGAAAACGCAGTAGGATTAAAAATTAGTAGTTCATGTTTTAATTAGTAGTAAGTTTAAAAAATCAAATGTTGTAAAAATCAAAATTGTCATATTCTATCATTTTAAAAATTTCAAAATTAGGTTTAGTTATAGGCCACCGATATAAACACTTACGCCTCCTCCAGCATGAATTTTACGCGGTTGGTGAACAGATGTATAATTTTTTAATTCAAATTGTGGATTTTTTTCACATTTACACCAAGTCTCTGTAAAACAAATAATGCCGAAATCGTGTTTTATTTCGTCAAGTAAAAATTTAAAATTTTCAAAGTTTTTGTTAAGATTTCGTATATTAATATTTAATATTGAAAATGAGACTTTGTTTTGGTGAAAATATTTTGCGGTTTAGGAAATTGAGTAGTAATTACTTTCATATGTTATTTGATCAAAGTATATTGTATATGTATCTTTATCACTGAGACTTAAATTTTCAGGAGAATATTTTAATTGCAAGTTGCCCTCCATTTAAAAATTAATAAAAACAATAAAAAAAAACTAAATATAAAGAAAAAAAGAATAAAGATACTTATTTAGTGTTCCGATTTAACTCCTTCTCAACCAGTTTATCATATGCTAAAACTGCATATTTTCCGGAATTTCTTGCAATCTTCATTTTCTCAATAAGATTACGTCGTATTTTATTTGTTTCTTCAGAAAAGTCCTTGTTTATAAAGATCCCTTTTCCTTTTAGTTTCTTTTCATTTTTCAAGATTAGTTCTTTATCTTTATAATTTAACAGTTTAAGTATAACAGTTCTTGGGGTATCCATATTATTATAAACTTTTCCAATTCTGTGTGCCCTTTCTATAACTATATTTTTTAGCTGAAGCTGTTCATTAAAAATTCGAAGTTTTTGTTCAGTATTTTGCCAAGTTTCTTTATGTATGTATATATCCATGTATTTATGTGTGATAGTATGTAACATACATATGTACGTACAAACATATATACGTACATGTAACATACATACGTACATATATAAATGCGCTCGTAATAGTATATACTATTAAACAAAATTCATTTGAATGCATAATAAATGAATGTATTTATTATAAAATACAATGTCTATTTAAAATACATTATAGTTTTTATATAATAAAGCTTATTTAGCATAAAAGTAAACTTATATATTTCTAGTACAACTAATAATAAACAGTTTATCTAACAGTTATTAATGAGGAAAACTCAATAAGCTTGTTTTGTTTGGATACCATTTTTTATTTTTCTTAATATAAAAGAAAATTTCTCCGAGAGCAGTTTTAACAGAAGGGCAAAGCAGGGTTAGATTTTGGCATTAACAGCCTTCCGATAACTAAAATTTCTCCTGCCGTTAACTAAACGGAGACATTAGAATACGAGTTTATTTTATCGCTGGCGTTAAAAACTGCCGTTTTGCTTTCAACCAGCCGATAGCTTATCGCAGGGTTTAACATAGGGATGTGAATACGACTGCTGAAATCTTTGTTTTAAGAACATTTTTTCTGATTAAGCATTAGAATACAACTAGACTTTTTTTGCAATACGAAAAATTTTGTCATGTTGGAAAATAAACTTAGCAACAAAATGTTTTAGTTTTTTTACTAGACGACCACCTAATGTACGGGAACGCACGTCATATCAAGTAAAAAAAAAAAAAAAGGCTCAAAATGCGTTTTTAATATAAGCAGCCTCCTCGACTGCAGTGGTCTACTTGGATGTGTCAAGATAGAGTAAAAAAACAACAACAAAAAAGTCGTCCTTTCAACTTTTACGAGGTCGCAAAAGTCCAAGAATATATTGAAACCTACTAAAACACCAACATTTGGTAATCATTGACTTAATATGTAGAAGGGGTAATAATAAAAAAAATTACAGTAGACGCATATATCTCTCTCCTAAACATGGCAAAAAATCTTTTATCAATAATTATTAATCTCTTTATTTTTAAAACTCTCGACAATGAAAATATGACAACAATCGTAAAATGAGGAACAAAATATTTTAGCAAAATATCGAAATAAATTAAATAATAAAGTTTATTATTAAAATTTTATTGTAAATTTTCCAAATAACAAAATGTCGATAACAACATTAAAATATTTTTATACATAAAAAAAGCAACCAATGAAAAATACTATAAAACAAAACTCAAGAATATCAAATATCTATTAAGCTAAACCGAAGCCTTCTGGACATTCATTAATGGCTTTGAGCATTTGAGAATGAAGTTTGTCATAAGTTTCGTACGCAGGCAAGTCTAGCTGATTAAAACTACAATAAAAATATTATTTAAACATGTAAACATTTTTTGGATATTGCAAATTTTTATCACATACAGACTTCGGAATTAGAGCCAGCTATGCCGATCTAATTCCAAAGTCTGTATGCAATATTATCTATGTATCTATCTATATATATAAACATACACGCAAATGTATACAAATGTAAATTTACTTACCACGTGTGAGCACACGGTAAACGATCTGTAGATCGATCATCGCGGTGGATTTGAAATTTTTGAGGTCCATTCATACCTTCCAGAGAAACAAAGCCTTGCAATGGAACTTTTGAAGTACCAGTAACAAACTGTAAAAACTTAGCTCTATCAGCCTGATCAAATGATCGCAATGCGCGCCAAAGCCATTGTATCTAAAAATTTACACAAGTTTATTTAAGCATAAACTCTTGCATCTTTTTCACTTAAAATTATTTTATGTTAGAGTACAATTAGTTTATGTTAGATATCAATTAATTTATGTTAGATAACAATTAATTTATGTTAGATTTCAATTAATTTATGTTAGATTACAATTAATTTAAGTTGGATTAGTAGCATCTTGGTATGATACAATTATAATTATAAGTACTTTTACTTACTTGCAATGAATTCTCTGTGTACTTATGATACTCAGTATTCATTTTTAAATCTTCTATATCGATGGTGGGAAGACCAGCAATTAACAACTCTAATTCTTGCTCGTCAAAAATAGATATTAAACGTTTTGGTATTATCTCGTAAAAGCCTTCCAGGAAACTTCCTATTTGCTGTCGAATTGATCCAGTCATTTTTTCTTGGCATACTAATTTTACGTATTCTCTTTTAGTTTCTTCCGTCACGGGTATGTTGCGACCGTTTGGTTTTAAATCATGAATCTCATTCATTCCAAAAACTTGAACCTAATAAATAATCTTATTTAAAAAACCAGAAAAAGTTTAACTGATAAAAAAAATCTATAATCAAATTTAAAGTAACAAAACATTAACGAAATTCAATTAAAACTCCTAGTCAAATTTGTATATTTGTATATCCAAATTTGTATTTATAAAAAATAAAATATTTATTTAAATTAATAAATAAAATATTTATTTACATTATGTAAAACATAGATCATCCAGAATATATTTTAAAAATCTGGAAAATTGTTTGGATAAAATATGCGGAAAAAATCTGGAATATATTTTCCTTTAATTTCCTCCTAATTTGGCTTATAGCTAACTTGTTTCTTTTTTTTTTCAATCTTTTCTTATTTTGTATGAGTGCTGAGTAAAAAAAATTAAAAAATAAAATTATTACAAAAATACATACCTAAACTTGTATGTATGGAAAGCGTTATAGATATCCGAAAAAACTAAAAATTGAGAAAAATATCCGGCATTCCCAATATACCCGGAAAAATATAATCCCTGAAATAATAATATCAAAGTATTTCGGTAAAATATGTTTTATATTAAAATCATACATCTCTTCAAGTGCGTCATCAGACATCATATTATGTGTAAAATTTTCTGCTTTTACACTTTTGTATTTAATTAAAGTTTTGTATCCCAAATATTCGGCAGCAACAGACCACTCAAGCAATTGATACTTCAGCATGGTATATCATACACAACGTTTAAATGGAAAGGGATGTGCCTTTAATTGTTTATCCAGAATATCTTTTCCAGCACCATTGTACCACACTGCTTCAGACTGATCTTCTTCTTTCCCAATGAAATCTTAGAATGTGTTAACCCTACCATTGCATATTAAGTAAGACAACAAGAAAGAAAATCTATCAATGCTCTTTACAGCAGCATTTAAAAACCTTCAAGTTTATATATTGAAACTGGTAACATAAGGTCATTATTGTTGGACTACAGTTTAAAAAGATTGTTGTTGCAATTGTTTATGGTTTCCTAGGTGATCTAAGGTTAAAAACATTCTGAAGTTGTTTATGGTTTTCTAGGTAATCTAAGGTTAAAAACTTTCTGAAGTTGTTTATAGTTTTCTAGGTAATCTAAGGTTAAAAACTTTCTGAAGTTGTTTATGGTTTTCTAGGTAATCTAAGGTTAAAAACTTTCTGAAGTTGACTCAGCCTTAAAAAATTTCCAAAAATGGGATGCAGAATTTCTAATTAAATTAATATTCTTGACGCTTATTTTGACAAGTTCAAGAAAAACATAAGAGCTTACTGAATTACATACCAATAACTATTGGACTAAGAATTCTGTTGCTAAGGGCAGTATAATAATGATAGGTTCAGATTTTTTTAACTCATAAAATTTACAGCTCCTTTCTTTCACTCTCTTCTTTACTTTATAATAATTTCCAAATTATTGTTGCATGAAGCCCCTTGTTGAAAGTGATTTTATTTAAAAAAAATTTACGAGATAACAAAAATACGTTCAACACTTTTTATCTTTCAATAAAAATGTACCTGTATTGTATTATTTAAAATATTGCGTAATTTAAAAAAACTAATAAATAAACAAAACAAAATGTTATGTTATAGATCAGTCAATGCAATATTATATTCATTTTGTGTACTATAAATCTCCATAAGTTAATGGTGATAGTGCTGATGATATAAAGGATTATTAAATCACTTACGATTTACAAAGGCAATCACAAATAATAAAGCATAAAATCTAAAAAAATGAGAAATGGAACCCACTTTCAAAGTAAACTAACACATTAAAAAAAAAAACAATAATGTTTTTATTAAGTAATTATAGTAGTTGTCAAAAAACATAAAAAAAGGAAATTTAAATTATAAGTTATCAAAATGTCATCAAAGCAATTTGAAAAATTTCGGCCCATCAAAAAATAATAGGGTATTGGCAAAGGATATTTGAGTTTAACAGGCAAGAGTATTAATTCAGTACAAGAATTGCCAATCATAAGCAAAAAAATGACAATAACAGTTGTGTAGAAATTAATGGGCACCATTACCAGTAATGTACAATTATTTTTTAGAAATAAATAAAAATTTTGAAACTTAAAGTATTTTTATACTTTTTATTTTCTTAACTTTAAATAAAAACTAAAGAACTTTGTAAAAAAAAAAAAATGTATAAAAAAAAACTTTTTATAAAACAACATTTCAAAAATGGACCGAAAAGTAAAAAATATAAAACTTTTAAAACACAACATTTTCAAAATGAACAAACAAAAAACAACAAATTTTTAGTGTTTTAGTTAAACATAAATAAATAGAATCGCTTTTGAATAATAAAAAATACATATAAAAACTTAAAAACAATATTTTAAAATAGATTAAAAAGGAAAAAAAAAACTATTTCATGGGACCCAAGGACTTTGTCTACGTAGATAACCTGAGATATCCATTAAAGTCAACGACTGAAATTATTGGGCACCAATAGGAACGAGTTGTACTTAGTTGCCCAACATTTTCAGTCATTGACTTTAATGATATTTCAGGAACATTGTGTGTGTACACACAAGTCCTTGGGTTCCATGAAATAGTTTATTTTTTTCTTTTTTAGTCCATTTTAAAATATTGTTTTTAAGTTTTTATATGTATTTTTTATTATTCAAAAGCGATTCTATTTATTTATGCTTAACTAAAACACTAAAAGTTTGTTGTTTATTGTTTGTTTTGATTACTTTCTTTAACGATTTCTTTTATTTACGCTAAACTAAAGTCTGTTTTTTGTTGTTTATTTTAATTACTCTTTTAATGATTCCTTTTATTATTACCGCTGAGCTTGTGTTAGTTTTGCACAGACACCAAACCAAAAAAAAAAAAATAAAAAAAAATAAATAAATATAAACCCATCATTTCATTTTCATATATTAGATAAAATTAAAAATATAACTTTTAGATAAATTAAAATAAAAATAAAATGCAAGATAATAAAATTGTTTTAATAAAATTGAAACTGAGTCTATAAGTAACCTAAATTCTTAAACAAAATTTTTGAAGACATCTATTAAAGTTTATACTACATTAAAGTTAATAAGACATTTAAAATATAAATACCTCTGCAGAGAAAGTAAGTTCATAACCGAGATCATCAATATCATGCTCCAGTAAATAAACTAGGCCTTGATAAAAACTGTAATCTTCCGCTTCCATATCACTATAATGAACAGGCTTTCCAAGAATGTGCTTGTAGAAAGATCTAATTTAAAATAAAAAACAAAACAATAAATTTTGTGGTATTAATTAAAAAAAAAAAAAAAAAAAAAAAAAAAAAAAAAAAAAAAAAAAAAAAAAAAAAAAAACCTTGTAAAATAACAATCAAGCAGTTTGTTGTCATATATTGCTTTAGCTACAATTCTTCCTGCAAATTTAAAATACGAAAGGTGATTTGGATTACAATGAGAATGCTGATTGGGTAAATATGTACTTTTCTCGCCCTGAGAATTTGTAAATAAAGCGTAATTTGGATTAAACATTTCACGAGCCATGATGCCATACCATTCTCGCAATAATCCTCCTAAAATTTAATAAAACTATTATGTTTTCGAAGTTATATTTTTGTCAGTTTTCAGAAAATAAAAATTGATTAAAAAAAAAAAAAAAAAAATTAGATCAACAAGCAACATTAGACAGAAACCTGCATCTTGTCCTTCTTCGCCATCAAAAACAACATACAATCTATTCTTTAATTCTTCAGCTGTTCGACGATGAAGTTCTCTATAAGAGTCCTCAAAAATATGCTCCCTACGAATATGCACAGCCATGTCCTCACGACGATGCCCCTAGTAATTTATTATATTTAAAATTAAAAATATTTTGTATAATTTTCCAAATTTAATTTTAGCTGCTTCTGTTTTTGCAATGTTATTGTTGTTTTAAAACTGCTGTTTTTCCTACATTATTTCAATGTGTTGCAGAGTTTCAAATTTAATTTAAATGTAATAAAAATAAGTCTTTGATTTGAATAAAATTGTTTTTTGTTTTTTTTAGCTATTCTGTCAATCTTGAGTTTCAGATTAAAAAGCTTAAGAGTCTTTAAAAATTTTAATCATGCTGTAAAATCAAAACCATGCATTCTATAGTCAGTATATAAATCAAAAGTGTAAACACAGAAACTTATGTATGAAGCAATTAGATATTTATATTTAAAAGCAAGATTGAAACAAAATTAGAACTAGATAAAAAGATCCATGGTGTGTGTGTGTGTGTGTGTGTATATATATTATATATAAATAAAAGTAAAACTGTCTAGGTACTGACATCAGTAACATATTTTGTATTTAATATAAGAACATCATATTTAAGTATACCTAAAAAAGCCTAATTTTTATAAAAACTAGAATGAAAATTAAAAGTATTTTATATTTAATATAAATTAAAAAAAACCTTATTTTCTTTTTCAAGCTCTTGTCTGAAATATCTGCGTTTGACATCAAAGTCAAGTAAACGAGTATGATGTACAAGTACAGCGAATGGACCGTCAGCTAACGAGCTACTTGACTGCCTTAGAATCTGATTTAAAACAGTACGATGAGTTTCTAAAGAGTTAATAAACAATTAAAATATATAAGTATAATAAATTTTAATTTTTAAAATAACCAACATTAATAAATCTTATAATAATAAAAAACATTCAAATTATTTTAGTAAAATCTAGACAAATAAAAACTCTTGAAAAGCTAACCAGCAAAATTTAAAAATTTTTGTGTATCAGGAGATAGATTAACAGCAGATGTTGAACTAGATTGATCTAAAGTAGTGCTACTAAAGTTTGCATTTGGGGAAAGCGGACTTTGAATTTCTTGTGTGTTTGTGCTTGATTCATTAAGTGTAGTTTTATTTTCTTTTTCTGAACCATGGACTAAGAAAAAAGCTTCAACAGCTGGCTGAAGCACAAGAACTGCATTGGGATCTGAAGTTTCTGCTAGTTCTGTTAATGCTTCACCTAAGCAACAAGTTGAAAAATTGAAAAGTTTTTTAAAATCAAAGCAGAAATAATACTAATTATAACATTAACTAATATTTGAAGTAATAACAAAAGCTAACACACACAATATATTTACCTAAAATGTCCCAAAGTTGACCTAAGTTGAGCAAGTTACTGAGCTTTGCAAATTGTGGAATGTTTATTTCTTCATTCTTTTTGCTTTCCTTATCTACAAAAAATATATCACCATCATAATAATAACATAAATAAAATATACTCATCAGTCATCATGGATATTGTTTTGCATTGTATTGTTTGGAAAACGGAATCAGTATAACCTATTTTGTATTGTTATCTTTTAGTACAACTACAAGCAGCCCTTAGAACTAGGAAAAATAAGGTCGGCAAAAAATTGCATACTTAAAACTGTTTTAGGTTGGCATTAAGTTGACACAAAACATTTAAAAAAGTGTTTGACAAGTCAAACAACGTTAGAACATTTAGCATAAAAATGACAGAAACCAACAGACTTTTCCTTTAAACTTTGATGTTTGTTTAAAATTTAAAAAAAAAAAAAAATTGCTGATTTATTTTAATTATCTTATTTAGTATCTTAGATTTATTTTGTAATTGAAAAAACGACCATTTTTCTGATTTTATTTTAACTGTTTTTTTTTTTACATTAAAAAAAAAAAAAAAGGTTCCTATTTGGAATTTAAATTGAGCGTTTGTTTTGCCATTTTATTTTAATTATTTTTTAGGAAAAAAAAAATGTTAGTTTTGACTTTATTTTTAATTTAGAGTTTAATTAAAATAAATAGAATTTAAAAAAAAATATTTTTTTTATTTCTATTTACATTATTAAGAATTTAAAAAGTGTTCAATTAACCATTTTTAGTTTATTTGAAAGTTTTATATTTCTGAGGTCAGAAAGAAACTGGTGACCTCAGACACTCAGTCAGGTCGGCATAGCCAAATGCCAACCCTAATTCAGAGGGCTGCATATACAGATAAATTTTAAATATGTTAAATTTAATTTAATAAACTTAAGTTTTTTTGTTTTTATTATGTAGTTTGCATAAGATTATTTTTTCATGATTTTATAAGCTTTATCGAAAAAAAAAACCCATGAAGATATTTATAGCATTAAAAAAAAAATTATAGTATAGGTTTTATAGAGCCTGTTAAAACCCTGCTAAAAGTCATTAAACTACCCAGTAGACAAGGGACCTAAATAAGACTTTTTTTGGACATTCAAAAAACATCTAAAGGGTTCAAAAGACATTCAAAACATTCAAAAAACATTTGAAAGATGTCTTTTTTGCATCCTGTGCCAACTGGGTAATATATACTTCTACAAAATATGGATGATGACAATTGTAGAACCTTTTTAGGATTATAAATAATTCTTATTTAAAAAAAAAGTTAATTCAATATTAAAAAATATTCTTTTTATATCATAAATTAATTACCTGCTATGGTCAGACTTGTTGATGAACTTTCCTAAATATAAAGATAATACAAAAAAATTAATACAATACATAAAAAATTAAATTTAAACAAATATTTTTTGTTTTATTAACTAAAACCGTTAAAAGTTTTTTTCAGAGGTTAAAAATAGATTATTAAACTGAAAAAAAAGTGTAACTTTATTTGATAACAATCATAAACTGAAAAAAAAACTTTTTGAATATATTTAACAGCAGTCTCATCATAAAAAAAAAAAAAAAAGATCAAATTTATAAAGCAAATTATAAATTCTGTTTGTAAACATAAAATATTCAAAACTTTTCAGTTACACTAGTCTTCAGGTATGCTTTTTAATTAGTAAGCAAACTTCTTTTTAAATAGTAATAAAATTTTCCTTTATTTGAATTAACTTTGAAAAAGATTTTAAAATTTGCATTTTGTAAATATTTAAAAATTTTCTTAATTTTGTAAAAAATTTCAAAACTCAACTGAAGCAAAATTTGGTAAAAAATACAATTTTTCTTTAAATTGATTTATTTTTAGATCTACATCAAGAGGTAATATTTTGAAGCTAAAAAAATGTAAAGTTAATTATGCTAGTTCTTATAAATATATAGAAATGCCTCAGGCAATTAAAGAAAAGAATGTACAAAGATCATAGTTGGAAAAATTAATTATGTTTTTAATTGACATACAAATATAGACCCCATGCATAAATATGCACACACAGATATATATGTATTCACAAAAAAACACATATTTAATTAATTTTTAAATTAAAACAGATATGAACAATTCAATATGACAGTATATATAAGTATGCATACATAAATCAAATTTTATTCACTAAAATCATAGATGAGTATTTGACTTGAAGAAAATCCTGGAAGTTTTTTTCTATGAAAATCCCAGAAAATTATTTTATTAAAAATTGATTGTATTAACTGAAAAAAAAAAACTTTTGTAAACTTTTAAAATGAAATTTGGATTATTTAACTTTTTACAAAAAGGAATTTCTAATATTCAAAAAAGTTAATTTGAATAAATTATAAAGCAAAAAAAAAAAAAAGAAAAAAATTGTTACGAAAATTGATCTGGTGAAAATTTGAACTATAGAAAATATATTTGTTTAAATGCAAAAGTTGTTGTTTTTAAAATTTTATGTAAAAAATATATAATTTTTTTTAAAACAAATTAATAACAAAAAACATCTGGAAATTCCTGGAAAATTAAAAGGGTTAAGTGAATTTCTGGAATTCCTGGAACTTTACTTAAAACTCATTTATGTAAAAAAAAGTAAAATATAAGTACATACTATCAGCATATGAAGAAAACATCTACTACAGGCTTGGTCGGGAAGCGGGAGCGATCGCTCTCGATTGCTGACCGTAAATAATATTTAGTTGCGAAAAGCTGGCCAGTTTTTTTAGTCGCTTTGAGAACATTTTAAAAAGCAAAAAAGAAACTTCTTATATGTTTGTTACATAATTAGTTTTATTAAATTTAACGATTATAACTTCATTGAAAACGCAATTATTTTTGTAAGTCTTTGTTTAAATCATAAAAATTGCTTTAAAAGATACATTATGATAAAAAACAAATACACAAAATTACATTTACATAAAGAATAAAATCTCTTTTTAAATAAAAAATAAGAATAGACTAATAAAATCTATAATTTATAATAAACTTTTAAAATTTCGACAATTTAATTAATATATATTTAAAACATTTATTTTGTAAACAAATAATATATAAATAGGTTTTTAGTGTGCGCGAATATTCTTTTTATTCTTTCGCACCAAGATGTTTTGAGAACATTCAAGTTTTTTATGTTTCCATGTATGTATTTTCCATGTTGTAAAACAAAATTTTTTTGTTTCGTACATAAACTTAAATGTTCTCAAAACGACTAAAAACCTGGCCAGTTTTTCGCAACTAAATATATTTTCCGTGGTCAGTATTCGAGAGCGATCGCTCGCGCTTCCTGACCAAGCCTGCTACTACAGAACTTTTTTTAAAATTATATGACATAATAATAACAGAAATATATATACATAATAATAACAGAAATAATAAACATGTATTATTTTTGACGAATTTTTAAACAAGATAATAGATAGATAAACCTACTATAATCCTACTATAATGAAATATTCGAAAATAACAGAAATAATAAACATGTATTATTTTTGACGAATTTTTAAACAAGATAATAGATAGATAAACCTACTATAATCCTACTATAATGAAATATTCGAAAATAACAGAAATAATAAACATGTATTATTTTTGACGAATTTTTAAACAAGATAATAGATAGATAAACCTACTATAATCCTACTATAATGAAATATTCGAAAATAGTGTCAGGAGTAAAGTTTGAATTGTTAAATCATGAAAAACCAAATCTCTGTACCTTATTTTACTCTAAATTATGCAAAATTATCATATAAGATGTAAAGAGTCAAACACAAAAAAAATCTATTTGTTAACCTAAACATAAATTCAATATGATACTTTTATAGATATTTTAAAATAACGAATAGCAAATACAAAAACTTATGATCTATGTTATTTTTGACAAATATACAAGATGTTTTTTTTTAAACTAATTAACTTGCAGCCAATAAGGTTGAAAGAAAACATCCACTTCTCAGGTTAGGAGTTATTAGAAAGTAAAAAACTTAATCAGAAAAAACTGGTAGCCGAAAAAAAACTATAAAAATTTAAATTGTATAAGCCAATAAAAAACAAAGACAACAGAAAACTCCAAAGAATTGCTTTATACCATAATTTTTTTTTTAACTTTTAAACCTTTCCAAATAATGACAAGTCATATAAGTTTCTATTTTGATTAATGGAACAAGAGATGATAACATGCTTTACTGTTATCCATGGTAGTATTTTTAGAAAGGAGAAAGAGATGAAATTTTTTGTTTAAAATGTTTAGATATAATGAGACAATGAGAAAACTATTTATATAAGTTATACTAAAGCAGAAAAAATTTTTATGAAAAAAATTTATGTTTATATTATAATTGCTTTTCACTATATCTATATTTTCAACCTGATGAATTATTTTCTTTAACTAATACCTGTGGTTGAATAACTGGTTCAACAGTAGTTCTCAAGTTTTCACCACTGTTTCCACTGCCAAATCGATCAATCATTTCATACATAGCTTCCATATCAGCTTCTAAAGCAGCTACAACTTCCCTCAAACTGCTACCTCCGTGTTGCAGGCGCTCAATTAAACGAATACCTATAATGGACAAAAGTATAAACAAATATAACATAAAAATAAAATAAAAGATATATAAATGAAATGTTATTAATGATGTTAAGCTGAAATTGCCACCTAAAGCTTCAGTGCAGTATATCAACTAATAACTTTGAGCAGGCACAATCTAGGTATGAAGGAATGTTAATACAATGTATTTTTTATAATTTTTTTATCTTTTTTCTTCTTATTATTTTAAAATATGCAGTTAACACAATTATTAACAGATAAACACTGATGAAATCATACTGAAATAGAGAGCTTTAATACATACATGGATTTTTATTATAGTTAAATCCAAACAAAAATATAAATTGAAAAACCTCTATTTCTTTGAGAACCCATTGGAGACACTTTAGGTTTTGAAGCTGATTTCTTTGCAGCATTACGAAGTTGTAGTATAACTTTAAGGATACGAAGAAGTAATAACTGACTAGAACGCTTTGCAGTAAGTAGAGCCATAGTAGGTAGATGAAGTTCAAATATGATCTAAAAAATAGTCATATCTTGTTGTAGGTTTTAACTTTTCTAATTTAATATAACTATTACTATTTTTAATTATAAGAAAAAATCTAATCAACTAAACTGCATCAAAAATCAAGTTACTAACCAACATACACCTTTATTATATCACTATTACTATATCTTGATTAACTTAATATGCTTAAATAGTAGAGCTTAATATGTTTAAAAAAAACTTGTACAGGTAGAGTTCCCTTAAAAACTACGCAAATTTTGAAAATGGAATACATCCGTTACAGGTCAACTATTTGAATTTTTTTTTTTTGTGATTTGAAAACACCTATTATAGGGTTTTTCTTCTCTGGAAGTCGTTATCCTTGTTTTGCCATATTTAGTGAGAATTAGCAGAGTGAATTTTCGGATTTTTTCAAAGATTCCCCTTAAAAACTACAAGGAACATAATTGTATTTATATGGATGAAAAATTTCTGAAAGTTATAAATTTTTTTCTTATTATATCAGAAATTAGTGTAGTATGATATGTAAGGAGGCTTGCTAACTTAGTCCAACAAAAAATAGCATTTTAGATAGTAAAGTCCCTTAAAAACTACACGATTTCCCCCTTAAATACTACATTATATTAGGTAAAATATATCTCCACAAGCTCACTTATAATAGCCAGGAATGGAGAGAATGTTTATACTAATATTCTTTAACTAAGAAATGGTAAAATGATTATAACTGGTACCTTTCTGTTCATTTTGTGCTCATAATCTCTAATCAAGTATGTATATTCTTTATTTTTAGTGTTTAAATAAAATAATAGTATGGGAAAACCGGAATTTAATTTTAAGATTTCTGCTGGTAGAAAAAGAGTTAGAACAAAGACAAAGCCAGAAACTCGAGCTGAAGCAATAGTTTACAGAAAAGACATAAGAGCTAAAGAAAATCAAATAGCAGAGGCAGTAGATTGGTGCACAGAAAATAAAAAACCAAGACAGGCAGCATTAAAAACAGGAAAGTTTCTTTAATTGAAGATTGTGGTACAATAGACAGAAGATTGGATGGCAAAATTAGGAATGTAAAAAAGGAATATTTGAGAGTGTTACATCCAGATGATGAGAAGGAAATAGTTTGTTTTATCAGAAACAAAAACAGAGCCCACCAGGGACTCTCTAAGAAGTTTCTGAAATTATTTTGGATGTTCTGAAAATCAAAGATCATTTGAACAAAAATGGAAAAGGTGGAAAAAAGTTTATAAAACTATCACCAAGTGCAAAAACAGCCCTACAAAATGGAAGGTAAATAAGTTTTTTCTTTAAACTAATTTATCAACATTCAAACAGGTACAAGGGTACAGTAGATATTAAATAGATGTAAAATACTGACCCTTATTATCCAAACTATTTAGACTCGGGAAATCATTTGGGAGAAGATGGCATGCTGAATATGATGATATTGTCATTAAGAGGCAAGGCCGAATTAAAATGAACAGAGCCCTAAATTGTACTAGGGAGATGGCTACTGATCATCTAGGTACACATTTTTTATCACATATTGTTTTTTTAGTTTAACCTGAATATAAAAATCTATTTTCAATTTCATTCTCAAGTGTTCTACAACTTTCATTCTCAAGTGTTACTACAAACTTGAATAAGTTTATATGTTTTGTTTGTTGATAATTTATGTAACTTGATTATATTACTAATTTTACAACTTTTTTTATTCCAGATGCCTTAGCTGATGAACTGATTGCTTGTAGTATAATGAAGAACTATAAAAAAATAAAAAATGGTGTATGGGTTAGTGATATTGCATCAGAAAGAATTTTCAATCATGATGAAACACCACAGTTTGTCAACTACGGTGTAGATGGTACTGCCACTGGGTTAGTTAATGTTGGCAAAAAAGAGACATGTAAAAAAATGATTCGCGAAAACAGAGAGTGCATAACTATAAACCCATTTGTATCATTATCAGGTGAGCCAACTAAACAACCTTTTACAACTAAAGTTGTGGCTTTTATAGTTTTATATTTTAAAAAGTGAAATATAATATTTATACTTTTAGGGGAGGTTTCATTGTGTCAGGTAATATTTGCTGGCAAAGGCATAACGAGCCAGATGGCACCACAAAAAGCTGTCAGTAACATCAAAAATTTGATCATCTCCACAACAGAGTGTGGTTTGCAAGATAACTGTTCATTATTGGCTGCGTATAAGAAACTTAATAAACATCTCACCGAACAAGGTATAGAGCGACCAGTTGTGCTTCTATCAGATGGTCATTCGTCACGATTCAACTTTAAATTTCTAAATTTTTTGCGTGAAAAGCAAATCAATTTATTTGTGTCTCCGCCTGATACTACTGGAGTTACACAGGTACTAGACCAAGCACCAAATCAACAGCTCCATCGATATTATAATAACACTCGAGATGTACTCTTTTCCTCTTTCCAGACAATAAATCGAGAAAGATTCATGAATATCCTTGGAACAATGTGGAACAATTGGGCATCCGCTGCCAATATCATAGCAGCTGCTATGAGAGTCGGTATAAGTAAGAATGGTCTTAATGTTGATGATATGCAACAAGATAAATTTGAACAAGCAGCTCTCCTTATTGATTAAAGTAATGATGTTTCTCTCGCACCTTCTACTCCTAAAAAAACAAGAAGTGTAACCTAAAAAAACCCTTGGCAACAACTCCAAGATCACAATCTAAAGTCGCCCAAACAAAAGGAAGGTATGGTTCAGCCGAATATTGGAAATCAATGTATAAAATGTCACAATCATTTATTGAGGAATCATATGAGAAAAGCCTCAATTTAGCAGAAGTGCCTGGTTTACTTTTAGTAAACCGGTAAAACCCAAGGAGGTTAATCAAGCAAAAACAACAAGAGTCACTAATGTGCATGGATCTATGGAGGCTCAAGATGTGCTTTCAAAAGTGGCTTTTCTTGAAACAGAAAAAAAATCATGATTCAGAGTAGAAAAAGAAACATAAGCTTAAAGAAAAAGAACTGTTTTATCGTTGCAAACTGCAATGCTCTTGCGTAGAAGAATGTTTTGCAAAATCTTTAAAAGAGTGTTCGAAATGTCATTCCGTTCTTAAATCTGTATGCAGTAAAATGGCTTGTTGCATTGATAACAAAAAGCCGACAATGATTCTCCCTGCATCTGCAGCATCATCCTCCGATTCTTAAAAAAAAAACACTCTATTTTGGTTCTGACTAAAATAAATCTTAATGACTCAAAGATATTTCTTTAGATGAAATGTTTGTTTATTGCATGTCTCTTTTTTAAAATATTTTATGCTATTCATATTTTTTTTTTGTCATTTTATGTTATTAAAAAAATAGTTATTGTTGTTATTAAAGCTGTTATTGTGTTGAATAACTTTTAACAATGTATTTTTTGAATAATAGGAAATATAAAAAATAATAAGAAAATACTTTTCTTATTATTTTTCATAATTCCTATTATTCAAAATATACATTGTTATTGTATTAAAAGCTAGATTTCCTATTTTAAAGCTAGTGACCCCTTAAAAACTACATCCATAGCACTGCAAAAAAAAAAAAAAAAAAAATAAACATCTTTAAGAGTTTATAAATTAGTTAATATTACATTGGTGGATTAGAACAAGTGTAACATTATCTAGAAATAAGTAATTTGCAAACTTAAAATTTAACTATGAAACAGTAGGAGGTCATAATGCATAAATTGAGCCTTTTTTAAAACTAAAAATTTGATTTGCATTCTCTTTTTGAGGATTTTAAAATTATAAAAGAGGTAAATTTTTAATTAATTTGTCATCTAGGATGTTTAGAGATACTGATTCAATCATTATTTAATAATTTCATTGTCATTAGTGGAACTCAGAGCTGAAAGTTTATACGTGTAGTGTTTAAGGGGGTATGTGTTTTTAAGGGAACTCTACCTGTAAAACAATTATATTTTGATTGCTACCAATATTTCAATACATAAATAAATTTGTTGAATTTTTTTTTTTTTCGCAGTGCTATGGATGTAGTTTTTAAGGGGTCACTAGCTTTAAAATAGGAAATCTAGCTTTTAATACAATAACAATGTATATTTGTAAGAATTTCAATTCTTAACTAGAAACATTAAAAAAACTAGAAACATTAAAAATATTAATGGTGACATAGTGGAAGCAAAGTTGACATAATGAGCACACAATCACAAAGTTGAGATAATAAGCACCAAATTGACATAATGGTCTATCGTTTATATGTATTTAAAACTTAATATGGGTGCATTCAGAACATTTTATGATAACAAAAAAGCCTGAAATTATTTAAAATATACATAGTGGCTGTATCTACAAAAAGTTAATCTTAACATTAAAAACTATTATATTTTCTACAATATATAATATTATTCAAGATACTACTATTAAGATGTCCATTATTGTATGTTATAGTTAAAACTGCTTTGTACTTTTTTGTATATGGACACAAATATCATGCAAAACAAAAACATTAAATAATATCTCACAGGTTTTTGAACATTTCTTCTTTGCTGAGCAGCACCTAATAAACCAATACGACGAGGCTGATTTGGTAATCGTGCTGCTCCTCTTCCACGCCAAGGTTGACTTCTGGCTGCTGCTGGATTTATTACTACAGGTGCATTCTGTTTCAAAGTCTAAAATTCAAAAATGTTGTTATTAATAAACAAAAAATTTCAAATAAAGTTAAAAAAAACAACTGATTTTAAATTTAACCTTCATTTTACTTTTGCTGTTACAATGCTGCATGTTGTGTTCCTTTAATTCGTTTAATAAAGATGCAATTTCCTCACGCAAAATGTTTGCAGTATCTTGAGCACCTTCCAACAAGAGATCAAGAATGCAATCTCGAGTTAGTGAGTCTGTTCTTGACAACTGTAACAGAAGCGTAGTTGCGTCTTCTAAACCCTCATCAGAACACGAACCAGATGCTAAAACATTAACCGCCATTCGAAGTTGACCAGTTAAAATAGATGGTTCCTTTTCAGTTATTTGTACAAAAGAGAGTGCTGGAGAAGATCGATTTTCTGTAAAGTTTTTAAAAAATCAATGGTTAAGATTTAATTAAATCCTTCAAAGATATATATTCTTTTAAAATTAAAAAACAAAACCTGTTGAAGATGTATCACTATGAGTGTTTTGATGATCTATATCCATGCACTCATCATCTGCACGTTGCTCCAACATGCTATAATCACTTTGAGCTACAGTACCATCAGAAACAACTGAGCCTAAACAAAAAAACTTCTATTAAACTTAAATTTAAATAAACAATATATATTTAACAAAATAAAAAAAAGATAAAATAAAAACCAGTTGTCCTATGCCTTGACTCAACAGGGTACGATATTCTTTCAAAATTATTCTCAGAAGGTTCAACAAACAATGAAGATGTAATAGACGCAGTTTCAGAGCAAACTGTGCTAGATTCAGCAGCATGCTGGTCAGGGTCTTCAAAAGCAGGCTCATGATGAACTATACTAGGTTCTACAAAAGTGACTGTGTGAATTGGCTGGGTTACAATGACATCGTCAGGAGGATGCGCACTTTCTTGAATAACAGGAGGTTCTGGCTGCAGTTGTTTATGACGCTCGGGTAATGAAGTTGAAATAACAGCAAGAAGACGTAATAGTTTATCTGATAAAAGAGTACTTTGTTTAACAACTGGGTGTGATAACATACTTAATATTTGTCCGAGAGGTGATGTAACAAAAGAATCACTTAACTGTTCTTTCGGAAATTCACGCAATACTTTTAATGGTCCTTTACCTTTTAAATTTGGACTAGATAAATTTAATCGAACAAGAATATCCCAAAATTCTGTTACAGAACCTCTTTCTGTCTCAAAAGATTTACTTGGTCCAGATTCATTATTTAAGTCAGTAGACTTCGTTTCATGTGATGGAGCAAAATCACTTGGAAAGTTTTTTGCAAGGAATGATAAAGCTTCTAATGTTTGTTTGCAAACATCAAGACAAGCTTGCTGGTGAACAGTCACAAAACAATCAGTTGGTTTCTTACCAACAGCTTGGAGCTGAAATATATTTACACAACCTCCAAAAGCTAAATTTAATGTGCGTGAAAGCCACTGATGATTTTGAGTCACAGTAGCATCGTCTCTACTTGTAGATTCAAGATTTTTTAATGGTTCAAATGACATGTTTGAGCTTTCTTGTGAAAAACTACTAGTCTGTCTTAATATTGAAATTAATGCATTTATAATCCATTGTTTAGTCAAATTATGATAACTCAAATTTCTAAGAATTCTGTGCAAGCGAGAAGAATTTATTGCTGTATCATTTAAAAATAACAATACTAATAAACAAGTCAAACTTTCAGGATCTAATAATTGAGTCCCGACTTTTTTTGTGTTGTTTGATGTACTATCACTTACTTGCCAAGCATTCATTTGATTTTGAGGAAATAAACGAGCAAATTGAAAACCACCTCGAGAATTTCTACGAGTTAAACCGCTGTGACGTAACAACTGTGAAAGATCATTTCGAGTAATTGCTCTTTCTGCATGAATTCTTAATTGACGTTGTTCAATTTCACGTCTTAAACCCTGTGCTTCCGAAGTTAGTTCTGGAGGTAAAACTGCTAAAACTGTATCATCCATATCAGCAAGAATCTGACGCCTAAGAGATGGATCTAAATTACGTACAAACTCTGCAGGGTCAACAGGTTGCTCTGGTCTCTGCTGAGCTGCATTATAACGAGCCTGTTCTTGACGTTGTTGCTCTAAAACCTAAACTTACAATGAACAAAGTTAAAAAAATACAAAGGAAAAAGATTATTCAACAAAAATAATCAAGTGTAATTAAATTATTGAATGATGTGCAAAACCAAAATACTAGAATGTCAAAAGCAATGTCAGAGTGAATGCCAATTTGAAGCAAAATTATATAAAAATTTTAAAAATAATAAAAAATTTAACTTATTTATCAATTTTTTTTTCATTTTTTGTGTAATAAAACCAAAAAAAAAAAAATTTTTCGAAATATAATTTTTGAAATTTTATATAATTTTGCTTTATTTGAGTACTAGGTTGACATATATTTGAACATTTTTTTGAAAATATTAGGGACCCATTAAATATTCGAGGGTCTTGGAGGACCCCTTAAAATATTTTTTTTCAAAAAAAATTAAAACCTAGTGTTTTTGTATTAGAATAGAAGACATTTAGGGGGTGAGAACAGATTATTTTCAAAAATGTTGCTTTTTGGAACAATAATATATATATATATATATATATATATATATATATATATATATATATATATATATATATATATATATATATATATATATATATATATATATATATATATACATACATACATATATAATCAAACTACATGGTTTATTACAAGATTTTGAAATGAACCATGTACTTTAATACATATGCCATAGATAAGCAAAAATATATTAGAAATAAAATCAAATTTACATATAAAATATTCACAAACCTGTAAATCTTACTCACCTCTCTTTGCATATCAGCCGGAAGTGCAGCCAAAAACTCAGGGGAAATTTCTTGAGGCTCTTCTGGCACACTGACCTGGCCGCTTGAAACTGAAGCAATAGGACGACTCAGCCGAATGCCAAATTGTTCACGTAGAACTTCTTCCCTAATTTAATATGATATATTTTAATCATAATTGAAAAACAAACTCATAATATGCATTATATTAGCCTAAAAATTTTTCAGAGTACATCTTAATAATCTAAAAGAATTTGTTAATTTAAATAATCCTGAAACAATTTTTAATTTAGTTTTATTCATAGAAATATTATTACAATAATTTAGTTGCAAGTTAAAATCAAATATAACTTCTAACTCAGTTTTAGGTCAATTCTAAATAAGTGTAAAACAGGCTTGTAGAGTTGCAATTTTCATTCCCATTTTTGTTCAGGCTATTAGAAAACATACTACACTGTCTCTGTCTTCCAGTTTTTCATATGCAATACTTAAAACAATTAAAATTGCATTTAAATTGAAGACCACTTGGTAAAACTTTATATTCAACCATTCCTTTAACATTTAAACAGTGTCCTGTGTCCACAATAACAGTGGTTTAAACAATTCATACTTGCCGATAATAAGATTATCTTCAATATTTCAATATGCTCTTAGAGTTATTTCTACTTGAAATCCTTCTCAGGTTCAATTTATTTTTTGTACCAAGTCTTATTCTTTTTTTTTTTAAAAAGAAAGAAATATTTCTAATTAACCGAGCACTGTTTTATAAAACTAAAGGTCATAATCTCTACTACTTTGCTAATAAATATTTTTAACGAAGCATCGTTTTAAAAAACTAGAAATACTCAAAGCTTTATTTTTTGCTTTTAATTATTTTTCACATCCATCAGGATTTTAACTTGCATGCCAAACATATAAAGATGGTCAAAATGACACTTATTTAGCAAATCTTCCTAAAATATATTCCAATTGAAACTTAGAATTTATAAGTAATTTTAATTGTCTGATAATGTTTTAAATAAAACAATTAAATTTAAAGTTGTTAGTATAAGACAAAGAAAATGATGCACAAAATTTTTTGTATCAAAGACTTCTCCCGATAATAAAACTATATCAAAGATTTCTCCCTCGCTAACAAACTCAAGTTGAACTATTATAATTTTATAATTTGTAACGAGGAAAAATAATTTCAAAAGCCTTTGAATTAGACCTAATAACTATAAGAACGAAAGATGTTATATCATATATAAAAGATATTTTCAATATAAAACTATTAAGTGTATTTTCTAAGATTTTTTCATTACAAAGTTTTTTGTTCTCAATTTATAATGAATTTTTAAATATTGCTTAGATCCCAAATAATTTTAAAAATGAGATTTAAAATTATTTGGATTTTAATTAATTTAAAATGATTTTGATTTAATTAAAATTTAAAACTATTCTGCAATATACTAAAATATATATAAAACTATTTATAGGACAATTCCACAAGAGTGTCAGTTAAGTAAACATTTGACAATCTTTAAACTATTAAAAGAAAACCGAAAATGGAAATGACTAAAATTTCATTAGTCTTCAACTCTTTCTTTTTTTTAAATTAACTCTAAGTAGCGTGACAGTCGTAACGCTTACTTTTTACTACTTTTGAACAAAACAACTTTGTCAGACTTGCAGCGAACGGTATGGTAAAAAAAAAAAATCATTTGGTGTGTGTATTAAGCAAATATTGATGTTACTATATGAGTTTCATAGTTTTTACTTAAAGTTTTACGAGCATTTTAATGTTTTTTCTGTCATGACTGTTGTAACAAAAATTTTTAAAAACAACAAATAAAACAATGCAATCAATGATGTAAGAAAAAAAAAGTGTAAATGATTATTAACAACCACGTTTATTATGTTAAAAAATATACTATAACATCAAAATTCTCAATTATAGATATACGATATGATTTTTAACGCTACACAATAGAACTGTAAATAAGCGTCAAAACACGTTCATACAACCATTACAACCACGCTGTGGTATAATAAAATGATTTTTTTAAATATTTTTTTTACTTAAAAGTATTTTTAAATAGTTAAAAAAAAAAGAGTTATGGAGTTTAGTATATGTATGTTTGTGTGCATTTAGTATGTGAATGTTAATATATATATATATATATATATATATATATATATATATATATATATATATATATATATATATATATATATATATATATATATATATATTTAAACAATTTGAAGAATGTATTCTATAAAATAGAGTGCTCAATGTTCTTAAAAGAACAGAGCAATTTTAAAATAGTAGAAAATCACTTGACAAAAAAAATTAAATGAAAAAAAATTTTGTTTTTTTGCTTTCTGTTACGATAGGGGTAATGATTAATTATAAAAGGATTGCTTTATAATAGCATAGCTTTCGACAATAATATTTTAAAGAATGTAGCAATTAAATTTTGTGTAGTAAATTAAGTATATAGCAAATTTATAAGTTAATGATTTTTTAGTTTTGAAGTTGTTTTTTTTTTATATAAAAAAAAGGTCAGTTTATTTATTACATTTTAATTGGTTTTTTAGATTGCTCATAGAAAGAATGACGTTTAGAAATAGAAAATTAGTTTATGTGCTGTAGGCGAAGATTTTTTTGTAAAATAGCAAATTGTTTAACAAAATGAGTAGACAGTTTACATCCGGTTGTTTAACCTCTACAAGAAATAAGCATTTAATTCTCCAGTAGTAGAGTTTTATAGTCTTTTTATCTTATGTATAAACATTGTTTCTGCGCAATGGCGATTATCTTATTGATGTATTTTCATAATTTAATCATTATCAGAATTTTCTGTCCAATTATCATTAGAAATATCGCTTTAATGGAAGCATTAACTTCTATCAAATTGAGAAAAAGTTTTGTAACTAATGTTTCTTCTCCGCAAGTGTTTAACATAACTATACCGTGAGAACAACAGGTATTTAAAAAGTAATATTTTTTAACCTTGCTATGCTTGAATAAATTTGAGAAAAAAATAAATGATGTGAAAAAAAAAAAAAAGTGAGAAAATGATGTGAAAAAAAAATTTTTGTTTTAATAAAACATGTCAAACTTAAAAAGCAAGTAAAAAAAATTTTTTACAATAAAAAAATTATAAAATAATATTTAACGAATATTATATATTTTTTACATGTATTTCAATTTGCATGCCAACACTTTAGGATATTCAGGTCGGCAGTTGTATGCTGTCTTAAAATAAAGATAGGTTGGCTTTTGCGTCAGCATTGCCAAGTGCTGACCTGAATTTTGCTGACTGCACACACTGAATAAAGAGTAAGAAGTGTTTTTAGTATAAGTTTTTTAATTTCTAACAATTTATTATACTGAAATGTTTATTAAATTTATCTTATTTTTGTATTAGATTTTTTATATTATTATATTGGAAGACACAATTATACTGATATCTTGAATTGATTTGATTCAATAGGGGTATCAATGTTCAAAGGTTATGTCCAATATTGGAATTAAAAAGTGAAAAAGTTATTTAAAATTTTTTTTTATTAATTTTTAAATTTTAAATATTTTATTAATTTTTTTTTTTTCAATTTATGAATATTTTTATCAATTAAAAACATTTTTGGAAAATCAGTTATAGTAACCTGGGTTATTAAGAGTTTCTTTCTTACATCAGCTTTGAACTAGACTGCTGTTTAGTTAATTATTTAATAAAATTTTATAATTTTGTCTTAGTTTATTAATTTATTTTTTTCTAAGACAAAATTATAAAATTTTATTAAATAATTAACTAAACAGCAGTCTAGTTCAAGGCTGATGTAACAAAGAAACTCCAAAAATGTTTTTAATTGATAAAAATATTCATAAATTGAAACAAAAAAAAAAAATTAATAAAAATTTAAAATTATAGAACTTTAATTATATAGTCATAATATTATATAAAATAACTTAATATAATTAACCTGATATTTTCTGGCAATGCTGCTAAAAATGATGGATCAACTGAAATAGGGATACCCAGATTTTCAAGTTCTCTTTGTATTTGAGCTGCAGCATTATTAATACTTGCTTCTGCACCAACTGCTACCGACACAGTATTTAATGAACTTGTTGAAATTGCTGATGCTTCATTTGTTGTAGAAACTTCAACCTCATTGTATTCTTCTGCATTAGTAGCTGAAGCTAAAGTTACATTTGAATCAACTGAATTTACAGTTGAAATGGATGATCCTGAAACAACTAAAAACAGATATATAATAAAACCATAATAAATAGTAAACACAACAATGATTTTGACCAAAATGTTAAGCCATTCATGATGAATAAAAAAAATATTTTATTGTAATTTGATCATTACTAAGCATGTTTACATTGTTATTGGCTAATACATAACATTAAAAAGAATCTATAACAACATTAAAACATAATTACCATTAGTAGGTTGTATATTTGCTGTACTAAATGGTGTCGGTGAAGTTGTAGCAAGTTGCAACATAATTGCAGCAGCAAGTTCAGTCGCCAATATAGCTCCTTCTTCTGTTCGACGTGGTTCTTCAGCAAGAGTGGTTTGAGGTGTTTGAGAAAACATAAGATTACTTCTAACTTGACGTATGCAAGGTGATTCACCTGGAATTGTACTTGGTACTGCATCAGGTAGGTCTCTCTGCTGTAAATACTGTGTGATGGGAGTAAAGCCTAAATCACCTGTAAGAGCACCATCATTTTCTCTTAAACGATTTAATCTTGGGGCATCAAATGGTGTTTGTTGCGAACTTATATGTTGTTGGTTATTAACATTTGGTGAATTTATAGAAACTGGAACGAGTCCTGAAAACAAAGATTCTCTTTGTGGAGCATTAGGGACAAGATCTGGTAAAGGGTTAAATGGTGTAATAAAGCTTGATGGTGTGTCCATCTGAGTAGTGAGACTGGAAGATAAAACAGTATCAACATGGGTAATTTGATCTGGAACTAAAGCAGCCGATTGTACATTGTTTAAAGTTGATTCACTAGGTGTTGTAAAAAGGGAAGGATGAGCAAGAGAAGCTTGTTGGGTTGTCAATGTGGAGAGGATAGAAGTAGGAGAAACATCCATAGGTTCAGAAATTTCATTTACTACTCTACTTCTTGTACTTGGAATACTTGTTGTGAGTTGAGTTGCTTTTTCTGCTTCATTTTCCTCTTTTTTTTTTTTTTCTTCAGCTACCTTTTCTTTCAATTCTTGTAACTGAAGCTTTTCAAGATGAGTCACAATAGAAGGTTTTATGTAATTTACAAGATCATGAACACTAGATCCATCCAGCAACAAACTTTCTAAAGTCCATCTGGCTAAAGAACTTGGAATAGAATTTAAAACACCAGCAGTCAATTCACTGCCTTCAATCTGACTGAATAAATCTTCTTCTAAAGAAAGGCCATCATTAGTTTGATTTATGTCATCCCCAATAAATAACTGAGCAATAGAGTCTAAAAAACAAAACAAAAGAGTAAAAAAAAAAAAAAACAAGTCTACTTGCGAAACTTAGTAGACAAGATATACCCGGATTTGAGTTTCCATGTATATGAATAGTGTTTCTTTGAGTAAAAACCCTCCCAGCTCCTCTGTTACCACGTGAATTCACATTTCGTGTTTCATTATTTGTTGGTCCACGACTATTTTGTTCAAGTGGCTGGTCTAACAACATAGGATGAATCAAAATTGATGAGCGATTAGCTAAAGCAGGAATTGCAGTGTCATTTTGTTCATCAAGATGGGGAATGTGAACAGTAAATGCAGGTTGTGGAAACGATATCTCAACTGTGTCACCTAGAAAAACAAATATTTAGCTAAAAGAAATTTGGGTTTAAAGAGAAAATTTTTTATAAAAATATAAAAAATGTTTTACTATCATTTACTATTGTTTATAAAAATATAAACGATAGTAAAGCTTCATAACAACAACAACAACAACAATAACAACATAAAAGTAATAAATTAAAATGTATAAATGTCAATGCAAATAAAAAAAAATTTAAAATTAAAAATGGAGAAAATTGTTACTAGAAACCTAAATAAATTAGTATAAACCTAAAACTATATACTGTGTTTTATCAATAAAGACTCATTAGAAAACTTTACTGACAAAATCGTACACTTAAAAAAAGATCATAATTTTAAAGATTGCATCAAAAAAATGAGTTGTCTGTTTAAATATTTAAAAGTTTTTTTTAGATATCTTATCAAGTATTGTTTTAAGAATTTATTTGTGCATTGCTGAACTAAGTGCTTTTCAAACCTATTGAATTTTACTCAATGGATCTAATAATGTATAAAATTGACTGCAAAAAATAATAATTGTACAGTTCAAAAATAATGTCCAATTGATCAAATTCCATGGAAATTAGTATCGAGTAGGGCCTCCTTTAACTTTGATGGCCTCACCTAGATAGTTTGACATTGAGTTGATCAAATTTTGGGTCTCTTCTGCTGTTATATTATCCCATGCCCTCATTATAGTTTCTTTTAAGTTGTCTTTGCGTCTAAATGCATGTTTGATAATTTTTCTGTCCAAAAAATACCACCAATTTTTTATTGGATTCAAGTCCATACTTTGAGATGGTTATTCCAAAACATTGATGTTACCTAAGTCAAAGTATACCTTCATTTTCTTAGCGGTATGTTAAGGATTGTTATCCTGCTGGAGTATGGAATCGCTTCCCATTCTCAATTTTTAAGTATATGGTTGCAAGTTGGCTTTGAGAATTTCACAATATATTTAAGCATCCATTTAGTCATTAATAAATGTAAATTTCCCCACTCCTTTTCAATTCTTACTACCCCAAATCATCACATTTTCTCCTCCAAGCATTACACCACCTCGCAAACAACTCAATTTATAAGCTTCTTCTTTTTTTCGCCACACCTTTTGGACTCCATCCGATGAGATGAGATTGTATTTTTGACTCATTTTACTACATAATTTTTTTCCAATATACTATCAGCATTTTTAAGTACTTTGATGCAAATTCCAGTCAAAGTTTCATTTGTTTAGTTAAAAAAGTTAAAAAAGGTTTATTTCAAACCACTCTATATCTCTATTTCCTATATCTCTTATACAATTTCTAATTGTTTGAGGAGTCTCTGTGATACTATCTTCTTGAATTTTTAAAGCTAATTTAGCTGCCAAAACAAACCTATTTTTCTTCACATTAATGATGACATTAATGATATTTTGATCAATTACATTAGTGGTTTTGCGTTTTTGTTTTCTAACAGATACACTAGCAACGATTCCAATCAGAAAATGCTTCTTAACTATTGAAAAAAATGAAGTTATGCTTTGACACAAATAAATAATTAAAGTGTACGATTATTTTTTTAGCACACTGTACAAATATAAACACACAAAATATAATGTGAATTTCAATTAAAATTTATAATATACATAAACAAATTATATACCAATATAAAAACAATTATCAAATATATATGTTCATATACAGATATCAATGGTTAAGAGCCCTTAAGATAGCTTGTTAAAATTATTTAGTTTAAACTACATCATGAATATATCATGAAATATAATCAAATACATAAAAAATATAAATATAAAAGACATCATGAATTATCATCAAAAGTGAACTTTGAAATTCAGTTTACTTAAAACTGTATGTGGTTGAAATATTATTTCTTGTGCTTTTAGCAGGCTTGGTCGGGAAGCGGGAGCAATCGCACTCGAATAATGACCACGGAAATTATATTTAGTTGCGAAAAACTGGCCAGGTTTTTTAGTTGTTTTGAGAACATTTTAAAAACAAAAAAAAAAAGCGCAGAAAAGATTATTGGACCGATGAGAGACTATTACAAAAAAATTAAGAAAAGAACATTAGTTTTAACGCCGAAAAACTTATAGCAAAATAAGTTATGTATAGAACAAATGTTTTCGAAGCATCGCTCTTTTATAACTTTTTTATAAAATTAAGCAACATTTTTTATATAAATTAACATCTTACGATTTCTTAATAAGGAAACAAAATGTTCTTTTATTTATCAAAGAGTTTATTATAATTTTTATTTATAAACTCATGCCTTATTTCCAGTGCTGGATTAGTGAGGGCCCGCATTTTTAGGGGCCATAAAATTTTCCAGAAAACTTATTTTTATGTCATTTTTACTTTGTGGCACATAAAAAAGACCTTCACAATAAAATAGTTCTAAGCTCGAAAAAGTTCAACAAGATTCTAATAAAACTTACGCTTATTTTAGTTTTATCTATGCTAAATTATTTTATAAATAAAAAAGTTAAATTTTTCAATACCTGTTTTATGCTTCGCGTAGTTTAAAAAGTTTAACATATTTGAAATAATTCTTCTGAGTAAGATAAACAAATAAAATAATTAAATCATAGAGTTACTTTAGAAATTAAACTAAATAGTTGAAAACCATCTAAAAAGGTTAAAAATGTTTTATAATGAGGAAGCGGAACTGCTTCGTAATACCGCAGATGATGTTTAGTGAGTGGGCTTCTTAATTTTAATTACTATTTAAAACAGAAAAAAGTAACTTTAAGTTTAAGTATAACAAGTTTGTAAGAATGGCAACTGAAGCAAAATTTGTTAGAGTTTGTAAACCAATATCTAAGAGCTTAAAAACTTTTCTTTCTTGGGGGAAAGAATCAGTTATCGGGTACACGGAAGAAAACGGATTAGTTGTTAAAATATGGTGTAAGATTTGTGCTAGGCACAAAATAGCTATATTAAAAGATACTTTAGTTAAAGGAGCATTGAATTATTCTTTTATTGAGGGAACTTGTTTGGTGACAAAACATCAGGTAAAATTAAAATGATTTACTTTTTATATTTTTCAGTCCAGAAATAAATTTATCATAATTTTTATGAATTTAGTTATTTTACTATGTTTCAAATTTATCATAATTTTTATGAATTTAGTTATTTTACTATGTTTCATTAAAAGTATTATGTATAAAGTTTTATATAATGTGCCGTGAATTTATATTATTAGTTATTACATTGCGAAGAAAATCGATTTTTTATTGAATTATTTAATTTTAATCGTGAATTTTTTTGATAATAATGAAGGTTGATCGCCATCTTAAAGGGCAATGTCATAGGTTGGCGGTACAAATTGAAAATGGGTACTCTGGAAGTTGTCGAGTCACCAATCTCGATATAGAAAACTCGGTACCACATAACAGCCGCGATGCGTTATCAAAAATGTTAAGAACTGCCTATGAAATGGCTTTAAAACCGAGCATGCCACATAGCCATTTCGAGACGCTGATAAAATGTCAAAGAATTAATGGTGTACTTCTTTTAGAAGGAAAGTGCAACAATAAAGCAGGTTATTGATTTTTTTATAATTTTTACAACCGTTTTTTTTCTAAATGATTTTGTATTTTTTTAAAACATTTTAATTAACTTGCATTCTTGTAGGTTTTTTATTTATATATTATTTTGGTGTCCGCGCAAAACAAACACGAGGTCAGCATACTAATAAAAGAAATCGTTTAAAAAAGTAACTAAAACAAACAACGCTAAACAGGCTTAAGTTTAGGGATCGTCCCTAAATTATGCAACGCAAAACTTATTTAAAAAATATAAGTTAGAGATCATTTTACTCTTTGGCGCGGCGATTTTTGCGAGACTTTAAAGGTTGTTTATATACTAAATTTAATTAATGACTATGCGAGGGAAAAATTTCAATTCTTTGTTTTTTGTCTATAAGTTTAATTTTGCGTTACGTAATTTATAGAGAAATCTTTAAGAAGAGTAATTATAACAAACAACAAACTTTTAGAGCTTTAGTTTAGCGTGAATAAATAGATAATTTTGTTATTGTTGGATAACAAAAAAAAAAGTATAAAAAACCCTTTAAAAACAACATTTTAAAAATTGCCTAAAAAGTAAAAAAAATATATAAAAAACTGTTTAAAAACAACATTTTAAAAATGGACTAAAAAGTATTTCACGAGACTCAAGGACTTTGTGTACATGCGCAACCTGAAATATCCATTAAAGTCAATGACTGAAAATGTTGGGCAACTAAGTACAACTCGTTAATATTGGTGCCCAATATTTTCAGTCATTGACTGTAATGGATATTTCAGTTTGTGTATGTACACATAGTTATTGTGTCCTGTTAAATAGTTTATTTTTTACTTTTTGGTCCATTTTTAAAATGTTGTTTTTAAAAAGTTTTTTTTACATATTTTTTTTTTATTTCTTTTTTTAGCACGTGAATATATCTCCTGCATTGCTAGTGCTGTAAAAGAAAAAGTTACTAAAATCATCAATGATAAAAGTTTTTTCTCAATTCTCTCCGATGGCTCACAGGCTAGAAAAACGAAGGATGAGAAAGAGTTGATTCTTGTACGCGTTGAACGCGAGGGAACCCCTGCTTACTTTGTAGTATCTTTACTTGATATGAACAATTTGGGTGGTATGGGTGCAAATGCCATTAAAAATGCTATTGACAGCATTTTTAATGAAACAGGTAATATTCCTTTAACTGCGGCAGCTTACAAATCTAAACTTGTAAGCGCGACGGCCGACGGAGCAAGCGTTAATTTAGGAATTTATAATGGAGTGTTAACGCAATTAAAAAAACGATAGAACGTGGTTGATTAAAATTCACTGCGTAAACCATCGTTTAGAATTATCTATAAAACGTGCTGTAAAAGATATATCGCAGTTTAAAGAGTGTGAGCGTTTTTATATTTCTATTTTTAGTTTGTTTCGCAATTCTGGCAAATTAAAAAGCGCGGTTAAAAAAGCTGCTGAAGCTTTGAATATTACTTACTACACCTTGCCTAAAATATCGGGAACGCGCTTTATAAGTCACAGAAGACGCGGTTTTACAAGACTATTACATAACTGGCCTTCGCTTATTGTGGGCTTTGAAAACGCTCTTGCGGATCGCGACACCAAAGCAGATATGCGTGCTAAGATTTCTGGGATATCCAAACGGTTGCATGAATACAGACTATTATGTATAGTTTGTAGTTATTTGGATATTTAAGAAAAATTATCTCCGTTATCTTTGGTTTTCGAAAAAAAAATGTTAATGGTAAATGAATTAAAACCAGCAGTGGATGTAACTAAGGCTAGTTTAGACAAATTAGGTAATGAAGGTATCGATGATATTATTGATTCATATTTACTAAAGTTCAGAATCAATGAAAAAGATGGTACAACTAATCTTGTTTCTTTATATTTCAAAGAAGGTCATGAATTAAAAAAATCGAATCCAGAGTTCGTTCAGATTGAGCTCGGCAACATGGCTAATCTTAACTTGGAATGTCTTAGTTCTGCCATTAAATTAAGAAAAGCAGCAATTGACATCATTCTGCCATTGATAAATGATAGATTTAGTTCGCTGTTAAATCCAATATTTGAATCAATGGATTGGTTAGATCCACAACTATGGACAGCAGACAGCACGTATGGTGATTTCAGCATATCTTTATTACTAAAAGAACTCTTTTACACTCTAGAAGCTGCAGGAATAGATTTTAAAATGGTTTTTTCGGAATGGAAAGCTGCAAAACTAGTAGTAAATACTCAGTACACCATTGCACTCACACCACTGGAAATGTGGCAGAAATTTTTCCTTCATCATAGAATGAAGTTTCCAAACTTTTGTCTTCTAGTTGAACTTATGATGTGTATTTCTGGCTCTAATTCCGCTGTCGAACGCATTTTCAGTATTTTGACTGTAATACTGACTGATCGGCGTTTAAAAATGAACCACTCAACAATGGAAGACTCTATAATAATAGCAGGAAATGACCAGAATTTCACTTACCAAGAGCGAGAAGATATTTTGAGTCGCGCTGGGGATATCTATTTAAGTAAGCGAAGAATTTATCGCCTTGATTCAGCTAACGGTAGCAATGTCACTGATTATAGTAGCGACGAAAGCAGTTACAGTAACGATTTAGGTTCTACATCTGAATCGGACGAATAAACATTTTATTTTACTTTTCTTTACTCGTAAGTCACTTTATGTATGTAATTATGTTTGTGTTTTGTTGTGTATGCTTTTGTTTCGTTCATGTATGTTTTTGTTCTGTCTCGACCTCTGGCGCGGTGCTGATCCACTCGTAAGTCACTTTATGTATGTAATTATGTTTGTGTTTTGTTGTGTATGCTTTTGTTTCGTTCATGTATGTTTTTGTTGTCTCGACCTCTGGCGCGGTGCTGATCCACTCGTAAGTCACTTTATGTATGTAATTATGTTTGTGTTTTGTTGTGTATGCTTTTGTTTCGTTCATGATGTTTTTGTTCTGTCTCGACCTCTGGCGCGGTGCTGATCCACTCGTAAGTCACTTTATGTATGTAATTATGTTTGTGTTTTGTTGTGTATGCTTTTGTTTCGTTCATGTTTGTTTGTGTTCTGTCTCGACCTCTGGCGCGGTGCTGATCCACTCGTAAGTCACTTTATGTATGTAATTATGTTTGTGTTTTGTTGTGTATGCTTTTGTTTCGTTCATGTTTGTTTGTGTTCTGTCTCGACCTCTGGCGCGGTGCTGATCCACTCGTAAGTCACTTTATGTATGTAATTATGTTTGTGTTGTGAAACAATATTGTCTAATGTTGGATATAGCTCCTTAACATAAAGTTTTGTTGAGCTCACTTTTTATGGGATGCGTCGTTGCTGTTTACCCACTACTCTGTAGTGCGTGAACAAAACAGTTTTTTAGTTTTATTGCTTATATTTAGTCCCATAAAATCATTACATTACTGAAGAGTCCTAGAGGACGAAACAATATTGTCTGCTACTCTCGAGTCCTTAATGCAAGGAAGGGGGGGCTAAGGGTTGATGGGAATATTATTTTTAAATAAACAACTGCCCCACCAACTTTTATTAAGTGCTCGAGAATACATAAATATATATATATATATATATATATATATATATATATATATATATATATATATATATATATATATATATATATATATATGTGTGTGTGTCTTGTCGTGTATATGTGTCTTGTCGTGTATATGTTCATCCGCGAGTTACTTTGTACGCATGTTTGTGTTCAGTAACCAGAAACTTTGTGTATGTTTATTTCATAACTAGTTTTATCAACTTTGATGATTATTACTGAAAATGAAATTTTTGTTGAAAGTCTTTATGCTTACAAAATAAATAATATATTAGAATATAAACAGAAACACAAAATTACATAAATTACATAATTTTTTAACAAAAAATAGGAATATACTAATAAAGTCTATAATTTATAAAAAAATTTTAAAATTTTGACAATTTAAAAAATATATATTATTAAACATTTATTTTAGTAAACAAATAATAATAGCTAAAAAGATTTACGGCTTTGCAGATGTGGCTCTAAGAATGAGCCATAGTATTAAAATAATAATTTGTTTGATAATATATTCTTAAAACAATTTATGCTAGAAATCTTACAACTTAACAAATTTTGAATGATACAATTTTAAAAGAAAATTCTAGAACTTTTTTTTGCTTAATCAGCGTATTTTTTGAACCAATAGAATTAGTTTGTTCGTAAACTTGGCGGGTTTTTAGTGTTAGCTTTTTATACTTCGGCACTAAGATGTTTTGAGAACATTTAAGTTTATGTATGTTTCCATGTATGTCCGTAAAACAAAACATTTTTGTTTTACGGAAACACATAAACTTGAATGTTCTCAAAACGACTGAATAACGTGGCCAGATTTTCGCAACTAAATATAATTTCCGTGGTCAGTATTCGAGAGCGATCGCTCCCGCTTCCTGACCAAGCCTGTTTTAGCCATCAATATATGCAAACTATATGCCAATACATAAATAAATAGCAAATAAATACATAAACACACAATATAAAATATATTATACATCATAATAGTCTTAGCAAATAACCCATGATAATATTATTATATAACAGGGTCAAGGTTGTAAAAAACACTACATTTAGTCTGGGCCAGAGCCCCCATCACTAACTATTTAAGTATAACAGAAGCAACAAAAGTTTACAATTCAACAAAAAAGTCAAAGACTTTTATTCATTTTTTTTTTGTTTATTAAAAAAAATAATTTATAATTTTTATTCAATGCATATATAATTTTATATATGCATTAAATAAAAAATATAAAAATATAAATTCGAATAAAAAAGAAAAATAAGTTACATTTTTTGAAAAAGACAAAACAGTTTGACAATAATAAACAACTTGTTTAAGACTTATTTTTTGTTTAAAAAATGTCTTGTTAAATGACTTAACAAAATATTTTTAACCATAAACTAACACATTGCATAAAAATCAAATTAAAACCTAAATTACTAAAAAAACAACCTCCTTCGTCATCATCTTCTTCAAAAATAAATGGTCCAACAGATGCTCCAGAATTGACATTTATGACATCTTCATCTGTATCTTCTTCATCTGCTTCGTCTTCATTAAGATTTTCTTCATCTTCATTAAGATTTTCTTCATCCTCATCTTCGTCATCATCATTATCTAAACAAGAGTTGATGTTGGGAAAATAACACGATAAATAAAAATAAAAAGCAAGGTAGTTTATTTAAAAAGCAATAGTACTTGAAAGTTTTAAAACCTTACATCGTAAAATATATGTATACAAAGACATTGTTTTAAACCATTATCTATATATATCTATTTCTCTCTCTCTCTCTCTCTCTCTCTCTCTCTCTCTCTCTCTCTCTCTCTCTCTCTCTCTCTCTCTCTCTCTCTCTCTCTCTCTCTCTCTCTCTCTATATATATATATATATATATATATATATATATATATATATATATATATATATATATATATATATATATATATATATATATATATATATAATATATATACACACACACACACACACATACAGAAACAAACATATTTGCATATCTAAGCTTGAATGGTACCTCGCTGATATCGAAACACATTTTTTCTTTTTCTTTAGGATTAGGATTTTCATCAATCACAGTAGCTCGATAAACAATATTACTTAATAAACACTGATTGTTCAATGGGCGAGCAGTCTTTGTAATGCAGTTACAAGTTCTTACATTCACATTTGTATCACTGTGTAAAATCTTATGTTAAGTGAACTAATTATAGACTTTGTGAAATTTATGGTTTACTGGAAAGTGCAGGTCATATAATGCAATTAAATGACTGCCTATTTTTGTTTCCACATTCTGTCTAAATGGAGGGTTATACCATATGACTTTTCGCTTTTAATTTTTGTTTTTAGTCAAGGTGACTTTAGGTTGGTATTTAAGCTTACAATTATAGCCACACTTTTTTAAAGCTTCTTTGTAAGGTGGGAAGGCATTATAAAAATCAGATTCATTTACTGATGTGGCAGATAATCTCAATTCAAAAGAGCGAGGGAGTCTTTTGATAATACTAGGTGGGTGGTTTAAATAAGAGTGAACATAAATCAGCTCATTGTCACATTTATGGTATGGTTGAAAAGAATTGTTATTAAGATCAAATATTACGTCGAAATTTGATTTTCTCCATTTGTTGGCCATTTTTGTTTTTCAAGATCACTAGCCCGTCATCACAATACAGACCAAAATCATCTCTGTTATAATACTGCCAAAGTTGGAATAAGAGAAAAATTTCTACTAACTCACATACCTCAGCACCATCATAAGCGCCCATTGTAACATCAAAGAGTCCACCTTTTATCTTAATCCACGCATCTTTGTTGTTAAAAAGTAAAGATTTTCTTACTAAAAATTACTAAAAACTAAAAATTTGTAAAGATATTTATCCTTAATTTTCAAAAACCAATCAGTGACGTTTAAAGTGCTTTGAAATTGGTTAACAAATAACTTACTTCATTTTATTTTTAAGTTCATTGTTAATTTTTTATTAATTTAATAATGCTTATTCTTCCTATCTCATTTTTCATTATTAGCAAAATATTTTTTGTGATCTTTTTAAAAAAAAAAAACTCAGAAGACCTGTTTATTTTGATTTTATAATAAACATCATGGTTTTGCAAAACATGTTTTCCTTTTTTATTTATTTTATCTTTTAATTTTGGGTCGGCTTTCTTGCAGGTATTTTACGTTCAAGAGTTCTTGTAGATGTTTTACGTTCAAGGGTTTTTGTATTATTTTAATATAACAATACATTAACAACTAATATATATATATATATATATATATATATATATATATATATATATATATATATATATATATATATGTGTATATATATATATATATGTGTATATATATATATATATGTGTATATATATATATATGTGTATATATATATATGCGTATATATATATATGTGTATATATATATATATATATATATATATATATATATATATATATATATATATATATATATATGAATGTATGTATATATACTTAAAAATAAAGTATTTTAACATATTAAACAAAAAACCCACAGAAATCGAAAAAACACTAAATTGTTATAATCTATCCTTTACTTTAATATTCACAGCCTTTGAAATAAATTTTTACTTGTTTAAAATTCACTAGACCTACTAATATAAACATAGCAGTTTTATTTTTGGAGTTAATGACTGTCTCTTTGATTCGCAAAAACTCCAATAGTCTAATGCTTGAAATTAAGATATAGTTACAAACTAGTCAATAAAGTGACACCTAAAGGCATAAAAGCACAAATAAAAAAATAAAAAAATCATTACACAGAAAAAAAAAGAATATTTAAGCAATGAGAAAAAATAAAATTAAACGAAACAGAAAAAAGGAAATAAAATAAAAGTAATAAATAGCCCTATTTGCTAATGTCTCTGGGGAAACGGATATAATCATTTGAATTCATCAGCTTAATTACATACAGGTCTTAAGCTTTCCAAGCAATAAACATCAGTGTCTCATTTCTATCAAATAATTGTCTTTAGATGACAAAATAAAGCTTACAACGACTGAAGGTCTCACTAGAACTGAAGGTCTGAAGGTTTTACTGAAGGTCTCACTAGAACGCCATCTACACAATGATTGCCTCTGGCAAACTTACCCCAAGAAAAATTCAGTTTTTTGCTACTAAAAACTACTGCAATATTGTTGATACTCTTATATTCATGTCATTCTGCAAAGCATTCTTTCTGCATCCTTTTTTTTCTGTAACTAATCCATCATGCTAAAAAAATGCTTTTATTCATTTTACCCCTAACTCTTCTTTGTTATTGATAGCTTGCAGCCTTGTTGACAGAAAAAAATATCTTATTTTCATTTATTTTTTAAATATAAAAAAAAATGTGGGTATGTAGATTGGTCACAAAATTGTGATTTATTTCTAAACTTTAGTGATCATGGAACTCCAAGAATGCTAAGAGACTTAGCATTCTTGGAAAAAATAGGAACATATAAACTTTAAACCCGAAGTCTTCATGAAAATAATGAGCAGAACGCCAATTTATTCTGACAAAAATAAATGACAGAATAAATAAAAAAAAAAAAAAAAAAAAGATTTACAAACTCACCTAAATCATCTTCCATTTGTGAATCGTTTCCTTGATTTTCTGTAATATTACCAAATTGAATCTCATCATCTATATCATCCTGCCCAACTTGAATCTCTAACTCAATCTGGTTGTTTGATGTTCTGTCAGCATTGTTTGGAGCATCTTCATCACCGCTATCATTGTTAACATTGTCATCTAAAGTTACAAACATGTTGGCATGTTGATCAGAATCTGTACCTGTTTAAAAATATTCATAAAATAGTTTAATTTATTTTACAAAAACTACTATTTTTAAACTTTAATTATTAATTTTAGAGTTAATACTTTTATTCTTTGATTTTATTTATTTCATTTTTATTTATTTATCTTTTTTTTTATTAGATTTTTATTTATTTATACTTTTTCAGGCAAATATTAAATCTAAAGAGTTTCAAGTTAAAGTAATAATAAATTTTTTGACCTGTTAAAAACTAGATTAGGTACTTAAGTATATCACTAGCAAATTAAAAATTAAAAAAAATACAGCTTGAAAGAAACAACAAAAATAAAATTACAAAGAAAAATTAAAAGCAATCCCTTGTGCACCTCACCACCTTGCAAAATTAAAATCTAATTAGAGAGATCGGATACTTTGACAGAGATGTGTGAATGAGATTAAGAGGATCAAGTTCTGCAAGTTATAAGTAATTGAATCATTTTTATTTTTAATGTTTTTTTATTTTTCACTATTTAACTTGTATCCAATAATATTTTTAGTTTTAATAATATTTAATAGACTTGTTTTGTTTTTTAAAATATACTTCTAAATTATTATTTTAAATATATTAGAATATTGAAGTCTAGATGCCACCAAATTAAAATGAGTCTAACAAAGTCATTTTAATTACCAACTTTAAAGATTAAAAAAAATTGAATTCCTCAATCTAGAAATAAAACCACAAGAACTACTAAGAATTAGTAACAATATCAAAATGGCTAGATAAAAAATTCATTACTATTTATAGTAGCCAAATTGAATCTTTTTTTAAACATGACAAAAAGTTTAATTTTTTAGAAAATTGGTTTTGTATTCTAAAGAACAAACTTATGTTAAAATATAAAAAACAAACTAAAAAAATACAAACAACAACGCAGTAAACAAAAGGGTGTCTCCCAATATTTCAAGGTGGATTACCCTGGTTTAATTCAAAGTTACCCAAACTTAACTTCATAAATATTAGATTTGGATTCTTTTAGAAAAATGTACTTTAATTGCAAAAATATAAACATTAATAAAACCCACATTTTAAGTATCAAGAGAAGTTCATAAAACAGTTGAATAAAAGTTTTTATTACAATCTACTTAAGTTATGTAAGTTTGATGAAGAGTCATTTTCCCTAATTTTTTCAACATTTAACTTATTTCCCTGATTTTTTTTTTGCAGATATATTAATTCCCTGATCTGGCCTAAAACACACCCTAAACAAGCACCAAGTATTTTTCACAGTTCTTTGCTTTTTAAAAAACTACAAGATTAAAAAATCAAAACACATTGCAGCTTGTAGTAAGTGAAAACTTGATATCAAACAAGTGTCAAAAATTACCTTATAGATTTTTATTGATTTTGAAACTTTCATTATTGTTGAGACAGGGGTCAAAAGTCCCAAAAAAGGGTTTAGAGTTTAATATACACTATCTTCAATGGCATATGATATGGCAAATACATGACTTTTACATCAAATAAAAAAATGAATAGTCTATAAAAGATGTATAAAAAGATGTAAGAAAATGTAGTTAAGTTGAGATCTTGAGTACAACTTTTATATATTACAAAATTTATTAACATGTAACATAACAAATTCCATTAACATCTAATGAAAAAGTAAGGAGTAATTATAAGTAAGAAGCTAGGAACAAGATATTACCTTCACTAACTTCTGACATTGTATCCAAGTTATTTCCATCTTGATCTAATGAACTATCTGAATCATCATTCAAGTCTGTACCATCACCAACATTGGTTTCAAAAACTATTTCTTGTTCAACCCCATTATCACCTGAACGCTCAGTTACAAGAGTTTCACCAAGAATATCAGAAGTTCCTATAAAACAAAACAACTATTTAAAATGTCTTTAATGTTATATTAACCTGATGTGTCATTAACTTTTTAAAATATTTAAGAATAAAAATAAAATGTTTAGAGAAAATGTTAAACAAAATCTATATTTTTTTTAGTAAAGAAAAAGGTTATGCTAAACAAACTTATTGGACAATATTATCAGGAACAGTTATTAAAACAACATTGATGTCAGAACATTGTCTGTTGTCAGAACAACAGAATGTTGGCAGAGCAACATTGTGGTATGAGCCACCAATAGTACTATCTAGTCAAGCAACAACTTAATTTAAAAATCTTAAGCACAAACCTTAACTGATATATATGAAGTCCTCACATATCCATACAAATTTTATTTTCCTAATAAGGTAATATCTTAACAAAATCTGATTTAATTATACATTAAACATGGATCCACACTTGTGTGGTCTAGACAGGTTTGCATAATATTGTTATTTATTTAAATAAAACGTTATTAAAAAGTTGAAGTAGTTTTTTACAACCTTTTATTTTAGAAAATTAACAATTAGTTAATATATACCAAAAGTTAGTGGCAGTTATAAAGTTAAAATTAAAAAAAAAATTTTCTTAGAAAATATCAACTTAAAAAATTGTAGGTTTTGTGAAGTACTCACATGAACAAAACAATAAAAAATACGTACCATTTGATGTAAGAATTTCATTGATTACCCCTTCTAAATTGTTATAAAAACTTTGAGCTAAAATTTAAAAATAATTTTAGTATTAAATCGTATTAATCAAATAAATATCACAACTAAAAGTAAACATAACTAAAAGTAAATACCACAACAGAAATGTTCGAATTAGCATAAATAATATTAACCAAAACTATTTTTAAAACTGTACATTTACAATTAAAAAGCTCAGGTTAGAAAGAGGTAATTGGGTTTTATTGAGCAGGTTTTATTGACAACCTTGGACAGAGGTAACATGGAACTGGTCATAAACATTCTAATAAATGACATTATGAGAGAACATCTGTAACTTTTCTTCTTCCTCTTCTTGAACCGTAGATCTTAAATTCCAGAGCTTATTCTTGAGAATAATACGCAAGATTATATTTAAGGATAATTTATTTGCATTACATTTAGTGTTTTTATATTTTTTTCAAATTGGTAAAACCTAAAATATTTGAGTGCTTAATAATAAAGAAAAGAAACTTTATACTCAACACAAACAGATGAAGTTAATAAAAATTAAATTTGAAAGTCTGTAATTTAAAGTTTGGATTTTAAATGAAAAAACTCTAATTTAAATTTATTTTTTAAAACTCACTTGATGTTTGATTTCCAACATCTACATCTAATGATTGAGACACTACGTTTGTAGTTTCCACTGATGCTAAATTTAAACTAATAGTATTATTATTAATATCATTTATTCTAATCAACTTGATATAGTTTCATTTATTTTCACAATAACCATGTATTGTATCATAACGCACCAACATTTATTTTAATCATGTAGTACCATAATTAAAATTAATGTACATAACCATATATATACCATATATAACTCTCTCTCTCTATATATATATATATATATATATATATATATATATATATATATATATATATATATATATATATATATATATATATATATATATATATATACACACACACATATATATATATACACACATATATATATTTATACTATATATACCAAATATAACATATATATATATATACTATAAAAATAAATAAATAAAAAAAAGACTGAAAAATTATTTTAGACTTACATGCACCAAGAACTGTTGAGGTTTCTTCCTTTGGTTCCTTCAGCACACTTTTTGCAGGTTGAACAATTTGATTAGATGCTAGATTTGTTAGCTTTTCTAATGGTTTTAGCATTGCATTAACTGTTGTTACCAAATCTTGACTTGATAGATCAAGACTATGTGTACATCGCGCTAGATCTGCAATTAAACCTCGTTTGATTAAAATTTTTACAAAACCAATATTCTGCACAGGTGGTTGAGATGTAAATGATATTGGTGCAGCTGATTCAACCATTAGTGTTACAAGATTAAAGAGGGCCTGGAGACGCAAATGTTTGACTTTACATTCTGGGAGCATTAAAGCTCTCATGTAAGATGCTTTTAGTTCATCAACAAACACACTTTCTATATCAGTGTTATGCCAGTATGTCCCAACATATGATAAAAGTGCGCGAGCTAATGTGGAAATATTGCTAGATTTAGTTGTGGCCTTTATAGGATCAGAATCTTTGCCAGTGTGTGGTAACAAATAGTCAAAAAAGAAAGCAAGAAATGGGCCATTTACCTATAAAGTAAAATATTACTTTATATAAGAAAAAAAAGTAAAATCATAAAATATAAATTCAACATTGAACTGTTTTGAACTAAAAATAACTAGCATCTAATTTACAAAACTCACCACCATATTGTTTGGAACAGGAGGGCCATCATCAGAATGATGATAACTAAACTCAACAATTAATTTAGCAACTGCAGCATAACTTTTTACAAGCTCAGTCAACAAACGAATTATACAAGCTTCTGAAAGCAATGGCTTTGTTGATGTTTCTGTAGTTGACAATGCAGGCGCCTCTGACAAGGGAGCAGGTTGAACTAAAATTAGAAAAAAACCTTCGGAAATTTCTTTCACAAAGCAGAGAAATAAACTTAAGCAGAGAAATAAACTTAAGCAGAGAAATAAACTTAAACACATTCATAAATGAAACCTAGTCAACCAAAAAAATAAAAACACACCATTCGCTATTTCATCCTCATCAACATTTTCTCCTCTTAGTCTACGAACAAGTAAAGTCTGTGGTGATGAAACTTTTTTTACTTCAGGGGTTGGTAATGGATTAATAGGTGGTGTTGCTGATACATTGTCTAATGACAAAAGATGGCGCTCAATAAGAGAATTTAAAAGCTTCACAACTAAATGTTCCATTTCAGGATTACTTTCAACACTTCCATCTAAGCCTAAACTTTTTATTTCCTGAGGGACTTTTACTATTTGAGCTGAATTAGGTGGGATTGTTTCTTCAAGTTGGTTGCGCCCACGAGAACTTGGCAGTAGTAGTTTTGCAACTTTCATAGTTGTTTCAATGTAAAGATTTGTGTTACGACAAGCAATTGGTCCCAATGCTCGAAGTAAGTAGTGAAGCTCACGTGCCCCTAAAGAATTTTGACCTACTCCACAGAACATGTTTGGAATACCATTATTACAAGCTGTGACAACAGCTCGTTCAACAGCATGCTTCATTGTTTCAACACTTTCAACAATATGCCTCAACAGCAAAACCATCAATGGAATAGCACCAGGAAAACTTGAGCCTTCTTTTAAATTGAGAAGATGCTGAATGCCTCCTTTGTTAGCAAATATTTTAGCTAGTTTAAAAGCACGAGTTAGTCTCAACAGCATTCGTATAGCTGCATTTAATACATCAGGAGCTATTGGTATAGATATAAGGTCTACCAAATTGCTAATTAATAAAAATAATAATATAAATAAAAAACAGAATCAACATTTAATTTAAATATAAAACTAAGAATTTTACAACAACATTTTTATTATAGTACACAAGCATATCATATATTTATATTAGATACACAATCATTTTATAATAAATATCATTAATTTAATAAATTCTATTACTTTATTTTATCAAAAACAAACTATTTAAATCAAATTAAAAAAAAAAAAAATTAAAAGTATCAGAAATACCTCAACAACTCTTCATTTTGATATTCAGACAACCCAGTAATTTCATCCTCTTTTGATTTTACTACAAAATAGAAAAATCAGAAACATTCATAAGAAGAAAAAAAAAAGATGAACTTGAGCAAAATGGAATAATTACTAAAACCTACAAGTTTTTTTCCGATCACTTATGTCTGCTTTTCTTTTTGCACCTTTTGACTTTTCAATTTTTTTTGTACCACATTCTATTGGCACAACAGACTCAGAGTCTTCAATCTTGGGACTAAGCATAACATCAAGCATGATTGGTCGACGATTTCCAGTTTCTTCATTTATCTAACATATAAACTGTTTATATATGTATGTATATATATTTATATGTGTATATATATATTATATATATACATATATACATGTAAATATATACATATACATATATGTATATATATATATATATTATATATATACATATACATATATACATGTGTACATAAATTATATATATATATACACACACACACACACACACACATATATATATATGCAGGCTTCGGCAGGAATAAAAACCGTACGGGCTATGAAAAGCCCGTCTTAAATAGACTTGGCGGGCTATGAGGGCCGCCCGTCTAGATAATCTTGCACGGGCTTTTTTAAACTTTAAAATAAATTCTAAAGTTTGAACTTTTTTTTTTTTAAATTTGTTAATTTCTCTTCTTCTTTTTGAATGAAAATGTCATTGAATATTAAACATTTTGTGAATTGCACTTAAATAATATGTTAAAAAGCGATTAACTGTTTAAAATGCTAAATTACTTAAGTAATTAAAACACTGCAGTAAATGAGTTGGATAATACTTAAAACTAAGATTTCAATAATTGTTTTTCAAAGTTTTCACTTGCACAGATCTAATTTCGTTTCACGTGGGTTAGTTGTTTTATGGTTGCTTTTGTTTAGATTTCTTACTCGAAGGAGCTTTATTCAGTTTTTTATGTTTTTTTTTTTTAAATCTTTATTCCAGATAATATCTGGCAGATATAGTCAAACAAATGAACGTGAAAACAACGGGAAAAATCCTTGAAACAACCATGGCGTTTCATCACGTTTCCTTATTCAAGCATCCTAACGTGTTTTTTTACCGAAGTCTTTTTGAGTATATTTATATATTATTGTTTTATTCAAGTATTCGATTAAATTATACAGGTTTTTATCGTGCTTTTTTAGTTCATTCGTTTCTCTTATTCTTTGTGAATAAAAATATTACATAATATTTTCAAATCTAATTTTTTTAATTATTCAGCAAATAGTTTGAAATCTTTTTTTTTTTTAACTTTGAATCAATGAGCTCGATAGTTTTAGAATTGTTTGGTATTAGCTTGGTAATATGATACGTAACTATGTTATTTTTCAAATTCAATTAATTATATACTCTTGCATTCTATTGGGCGTGCAAATTAAAAACTTAAACTGTTATTTATATTTTTATAACTTTGCTTTACCTATGCCTATCCTGATCGGAAATAGTTATTCTGATACGTGAATAAAAAATTTGAAATCTAATTTCTTTTAATAAAATAAGTTTTTATTTAGAAGTACTAATAATTTCTTAAGATACCGGGGCTTCCGTTACTTTATATACAATATAAGCATGTATATAAGCATATGTATGTTGCTAGCTTTAACGTTCGTAGTGCCCTCTATAAATGCTAATGCTTTTGATTTTGCCTGACCTTTTAACTCGCGAAGCAATTCTTTTTTATATTTTATACAAACCATACACCATATCTTCACAACAAAAATTGTTCCATTCTCCACCTCAGTTTCTTTTCCACAGACTCCATCTTTACCCCAACTCAAAAATGTTGCTAATGTAACTCTTCTACCAGATGATGCCATTACTATCTTTACTGAAAAACTTGAATAACTTGAAAAACTTGAATGACTGGATAACTTGAATAACTTCATAACTATAAAGCAACACTATTTATATTATCTACAAAAATTGATTAGACGTTTGTTGATTTTTAATGAGATATTTCATTTTCAATAACGAGTTATATAACTGCATATTAAATAAACTGCCGTCTCTTTAAGAAAAAACGTGAAGTTAACGCGGAAGTTAACGGGGAAATATCACTTTAAATGTCTTTAAAGTAAGACAAACTAGTTTATCGGAAAAAAGCGAAATACATGGATAATTAGTTTATTATCGTTATTATTATAAACATTGAAAAACCAAAACAACATGATACTTCTTGTGCATCACATGTGTATATTTCCCTATTTAATATAATAGTTATTAAATTTTGAACATAATATGGTAACTGTTTGGTATTATATCAAACAGTTATCGTCGTTTAAAAAACTGTAAGATTTAGTTATATTATTTTCTACATCATGTTATACAATAATGATTAAATTGTTTAATTTTTATATTTAAATATAAACAATTATAAGTTGGAGTTTGCTATCCATATTAAAATTATGTCATGAGAGAAGTTTTAAAAGAGTATCTTAATAAAAAAACATCAAAATATTCATCTTTTTTTTTACACAAAACTTATGTTTCAGACGGGCTTTATTTCGCCCATCTAAACTAACTTAGACGGATGCGGAGACGGACACGGGCTATAGCCCGTCATTCCTGCCGAAGCCTGTATATGTATATATATATATATATATATATATATATATATATATATATATATATATATATATATATATATATATATATATATATATATATATATATGTATATATATATATATATGTATATATATATATATATGTATATATATATGTATATATATATATATGTATATATATATATGTATATATATATATATATATATATGTATATATATATATATGTATATATATATATATATATATTATGTATATATATTTATATGTGTATATATATATATATAAATATATATATATATATATATATATATATATATATATATATATATATATATATATATATATATATATATAAATATATATATATATATAAATATATATATATATGTAAATATGTATATATATATAATTATATATATATATATAATATATATATATATATAATTATATATATATATATATAAATATATATATATATATATAAATATATATATATATATAATTATATATATATATATAAAAATATATATATATATAAAAATATATATATATATATAAATATATATATATATATATATATATATATAAACATATATATATATATATATATATATATATATATATATATATATATATATATATATATATATATATATATATACATATATATATATATATATATATATATATATATATATATATATATATATATATATATATATATATATATATATATATATATATATATATATATAGTGTACACACAAACACACACACACACATAGAAGTTATGAATATTTTGCAACTTTAATTGTTTGTTCTCTTGATAATGTGGAGTCAATGCTGAACCAATGCAAACTATGCCCTGGTATTCAAGCATTAAAAAGTTGTTTAGTGCATGAGTTTATAGACTATAAGCTAAAAAGAAGACGTAGTATTCAAGCAATGAAAGAGTACTGACCATACAAAAACTACTGTTACAATCATTGCCACTAGATGAATTTAATGATTTATTATGCAACAGCACTGACAACCTTACTACATATTTACATATTTCAAAAATGCAAATACTTGAAAAACTGTAAAAAAAAAAAATCTAAACCAAATCTAAAACTGTAAAAAAAATTTAAAAGCAAAAGTCACTGTTCAATTTTTACTATTGTAATTAATTTTCAGAAAAAAACATTTCTCAAACAAAAATCATTTTGTTACTTATAAGAAGATGTTGATCATTACACAGGGTGTAAATAAGATTCAGATATAGATATATTTAGGTATATTAAAGAAAATATACATTAAGTATATGTGAAATTTTGTAAAACCTCTATCAATCTTTTTCATCACAGTAGAGACTTTGATTTAAATGCTGAATGGATATATGAATGTATATAAAAAAAAAGATATTTAGATAATAGAAAAGTTGCTGGCATAAGGATGCATCATCATTTTATTCTTATTAGTTCAAATTGAAATGAAGTTATAAAAAAATAAGTGTGAACACACATACTAAAGTATTTGATTAAAAAAAAAGATATTTAGATAATAGAAAAGTTGCTGGCATAAGGATGCATCATCATTTTATTCTTATTAGTTCAAATTGAAATGAAGTTATAAAAAAATAAGTGTGAACACACATACTAAAGTATTTGATTAAAAAAAAAGATATTTAGATAATAGAAAAGTTGCTGGCATAAGGATGCATCATCATTTTATTCTTATTAGTTCAAATTGAAATGAAATTATAAAAAATAAGTGTGAACACACATACTAAAGTATTTGATATTATTCCAAAAAATAAAAATAATAAAGAGATTTCATTAAATATTAAAAATTGGAAAATATTCTATGATGAATTTTGGTGGATAGGGATTGCTGAAAATATATGTGAACTTGATATAAAAGTCAGATTCATGCATCCACATGAACCAGCAAAAAATTTTTTTGGCCAATAATAAATGAGTGATAGGTACTTTACTCTAAAGTTATATGCATAATCTCAACACCCGCAACAAATCAGGATGAACGTTCAACCTAACTTATTTAGATTTCATCACCTACAACAATATCAGGATGAACGTTAAACTTATCTAGATTTCAGCACCCACAACAATATCAGGATGAACATTTAACTTATTTAGATTTCAGCACCCACAACAATATCAGGATGAACGATCAACTTATTTAGATTTTAACACCCACAACAATATCAGGATGAACATTCAACTTATTTAGATTTCAAGAACATGAGTAGTTGGTTACAAAAAAATGTTTAAAAATTTGTTGTTGTAGTATTATTTGAATATATATTTTAATTAAGCATTTTTTTTTAATTTTATTTTACCCCCAATATGATGGAGTTGGGGGAAGTTAAGGCAAGGGTTGAAAAGTGGGGAAGTTTAGGCGGGTTGCAAAACTATAAAAATCAATAATTGGTTGACAAATCTAAGAACAACAATTTACAAGCCAATAACTTTAAATAAAATTGTAAATTTAAAAATTAATAAATTGGTGACAATTCCAAAAATCGATATTTACAAGTCAATAATTTTTTAAAAAATAGATAAATGTAGCATTTCTTGAGACTATCAAGTCCTTAGAATAGTATTTTTGACTTACTCAAGCAAAAAGCTCTTTGGTTTCCAAATTTTAGGACCATTCTTTAAATCATTATCAACATATTAAATGTCAGAGTTGTTTTGTTGACAACAAAAATGCTGAACCAGCATTACTGATTCCGTATGACCCTCTAAATTTTTCTTCGCAGAGCTTGAACACACAAAAATAACATAGGTAGCATTCTCATCCCAGAATGTTGAGCACAGAGTTTAATTGATTTTCAGTAACTGTGTATTCTAACCATATTATAATAGAAACAAATAATATTAAAAAAAAAACTCTTTACAACTTTTATTTAAGTAGGGAGTAAAGGAGTTTGTTTACTGGTAACTCCTTTACTCCCTACTTAAAAAATAATTCTATTCCCTAATTCAAAAGTTAAAATACAATCAAATTTTTGACTGATGATTAAAAAACTTGATTAAAAAAATTGATGGTTAAAAAAATACATCGGGAAAGCATGAAGATAGGTAAAAGTTCCAAAGCATTGGTGTCAAAAAAAAAAAACTAGAAAAAATAAGTTTTTAGAGCATGGAGGGACAAATACAGTAGCAGCAAATAACCGAGTTCAAGAAAGTGAAATCAAAAAGTTATTATTTTTAAGACTGGATGTATAGCTGTGTCCCCTGTAAATAAAACTAGCTTAGACTGTCAGGAAATTCATTAAAAGATGGAACCTTGTTGTACCCCAAAAGTAATTGGAAATGAAGTGGAAGAGTGTTGGCATTCAAGGATGATATTAATACTATTGTCAGATAAAAATGATTTAATAATTTTAAAACCTTTTTCACTATATGAAGTAAGCTCATGAAGTTTATGCATAAATATATCCTAATATATTTTCTGTAATAACAGATAAATTGTTGAAAACCACTTGTTGAACGAGAAGAATTCAACACTAATTAAAAGTTTACATAATAACACGAAAAAATCATAATAGACATCAAAAAACAATAAGATCATAGAAGACAAAAAATAGTTGCGACATTGTTACAAAGAAATTTCTAATAATTGATTTTATATTAATGCTTTTTCAAATGAAAGAATATAACATTAAAAAAGACATAACAAACTTAGAAATCAATTACTAATAATTGATTATTTGTGCGATTTGTTTGCTTAAAACATATAGTCAAAATTGCATTGACTTTTCACTATGGATGAACCATTATTAGTTTTAAGATTTTTAATTTCAATAAGATAAAATAAATATACAAATTTTAACATATACAAAATAAACATTCTTTTCAAGGAATACCTTTAAACAAATTAACTTTATTGTCACTTACTATATTATGCTAAAAAGTAAATTTTTTGATAATAAACATTGTATTATAACTTACTTGCACAAGTGTATTGAAAAGAACCATGTACTTTCTTCTGCCAGAAGTAAACCTGAAAATGAAATAGTATATATATGATTGCTTCCTGTAAGTTTATGTGAGAACATTTATGAATGATTGGATCATCTACTGATGTTGAAACATTTTATCATCTAGTTAAAAAGACTAAAAAATCAGTATTGCATTGACACAACTGATTTTGTACTTAACTTATATTTAAATAACAATAATGATTCAGCATTCTGTTATTGTAGTCAATATTACATTGACATTGGCCTACCTAAATTATATACAGCCTTCTATTAAGACTAGCACAAAACCATCAATATTTTAGCATGGAGAAAATTTATCAAAATCTTTTAATTATAGCACATGATATAGTAAATCTAGCATAGGATCAAAATTATGCATTGAAACCTCTGCATATTTTATAGAAAAAAAAAAAAATAAAAATAAAGGAGCATGAGAAAAAAGATTTTGTTTTTTATATAAAACTTGTTTCAACAATATACCTTGCAACAATATACCTTGCAAGCATAGCTATTATTTACCTTAGGTGATATCAAAATAAAGATAATCATTAACTAAAAGAATGTTTCAGGAGTATAAATATAAGTTTTTATTCTATATTATCGTAGATGTGAACTCTGTTTAAAAAGATTCACAAAAAAAAAAGTTAGACATTAGGTTTTTGCTGATGCAATTAGATTCAGTTACTTCATGTATGTGTATCACAACACAATAATCAAATTTGCAAAATAAATATAGTCTAATGTTAAACTTTCAAATTAAAAAAACATTTTCACACTTTGTTTTAAGACATCTGTTTATACAGCAAAATAAATTGCTTTAATAATGCTCTTTAATGTATAGAATTTTTGTAAAAGTGTTTTAAATGGATTACAGATAATTCGGCGATAGTCAAATAACTTTTGTTTACAACTCTCACATAATTTTATCAATCCATCATCTTTTGGAAAAATAAAATTTGAACTTACTTTATTAATAATAGAATTAGCAGTACAACCAGCAACATTTATAACCTATATTTATTTTCTATTCATAAAAAAAGATACAAGTATAAAAAAGTTTAGTGAAAGTGAAAAGCCAATGAAAAATATTTTGTGCCAGATTTACTCAATCAAAATAATTATATAAGAAAGTTTGTCCTTGCTACAAAATTAATGTTTTTGCACTAGCTTTATATTTTTATTTTATTTAAGCAGAAGACTGTGTGTTTAAGCAGACAATGAATTGACAAAGCTTTGGTAAAAACAATCTATCTATATTAGAAACCACCAATCATTGGATTAATTGTTATTAATTTTTTTTAGTTTAATACTTTAGTTTAATATAACACTTACAATAACATCAATGACACTGTTATTATCTTTTTGAACTTTTTTTTTTTTTTTTTTTTTTTTGTCAGACAACATTACTTTTGTAATTTAAAAAAAAAAAAAAATTTATGACTAATTTGGACTCTTTTTGGCTTAACACTATCTTTTGGTTTAAGCTATTAGGAAAGATTTTAATAATTCCAGTTGTTATATTCTAGTTGTTATATTCCAGATGTTGTATTTCAACCTTGACCTAGGGGAAAGGCCCCTTAATAATTGATTTTTGTGAAAATGTGATATGACTAACGTGTCTATTCTGACTTTATATTTAGTAAAAATACGTCCCAAATATTGTACATTATAAATATTGTAAACACATATTGTTGATTATTAAAGTAATATCGTACACAAATATTGCTTTTATAATCAACAAAAATCAATTTTGGGATGTTTAAATATTTAAGTGCGCAGAAATGAAATTTTCATGCATTTTATTTCCAAGTTTTGTACATTTAGTGGAATACTTATTTTAATTTTATCTTTTGAACAAAGCAGACAAGCTTGTTTAAATGAAAATGATGACATCTTCCTATGATGGCATACTGACAAGTTAGGTGTGTTGTAATTTGAGCTTTTTTTTTAAAAAAAAAAAAACTAATAAAAAAATAAAACTGATGAAAACTCTTAAGGTTATTATTGTTCTAAATGTAACAAAGAAGGTATCCAAAACAAAACTTTTGTTCTTGGTCTTCAGGATACTAAATAATGAAGCTTCAAAGTTAAGTATGCCATCATAGACGCCTTTCCCCTATTTTATTCTTGCTTTTGTGCAGATAGATACATGTTTTTTCTTTTCCTACTTCCAGGAAAGTTTTAGTCCTGTCTCAAAGCAGTAGTATGCTTCTGTTTTGAAAACTGAATAGTGTTTAGTAGTGAGATTTTTATCAGAGTTAAAACATATGCAGCAGTATGTACAGCAGAACTTACAATCGAACATACAACTGTTTTGACCATGCTTAATGTTGTTTTATAATTATTTATACAAATTATTTTTAATATTAATAATTTCAAAATTAGCATCTGTGATTTGAACATACAAAATATTTTTAAGTTTTTAAATTTTTGAAAATTTCTGTAAATTTTGTGCTCAAACAAATTGATGAAAAAATTCCTAGACAGTTAGAAGAGGGTGAAAAAAAAAAGAACTGAATGAGTTTCTTCTTTATAAAACCTTTACAAAGATAATTTTATTCTGAAAATGACTAGCAATATCATCAGGATGTTAGCCAGCCTAATAACACCGCCGTATAATGCGGTATTCCCTTTTTGTTTAAAATTGGTTAAAAATTCCCAAAGGTTCATAAGAAAATAGAAAAAAAAAAAAAAAATTAAATCAGTCTAAGATTTAAAGTGTCACGCTAGACAAGTAAAAAATGCAATAGTAGGCACGACGAGAAAATGAATTAAATTGATCGATTTTTTTTAATGCGTAAAAAAAATTTATTAACAAGTGTCATTAACATTAACAAGATCATTTATTCAAAAAAAAAAAAAAAAAAAAAAAAAAAAAAATTTATTGACGTCAGTTATTCTAGTCAGATTTTTCAATATTTAATAAATTATTTTAATAATTTATTCTTATTATTCAAAAAGTCTTTATTTATGTTTTTGCTGTTTATTTTTAAGTTAGTAAAGTTACAAAGAAATTTGCATGTTAATAAATATTAAACTTTAGAATAAGTTAATAACGTTTTTATAATAAAATATTTATTATTACTTTCGGTAAAATAAACTAGCTGGTAAAGTAACCGAAAATAAAAACAAAAATAATCAAAAATAAAACTTGCAATCAAACTTATTATCTATATAACTATATATATAACTATATTATGTTATATTTGCATAAAACAAAAAAAGAAGATAATTAAATAATATTATTAATTAGTAACCAATATTTATAAATACAAAATTTTTTTTTAATTTACAAACACAAAATTTATGTAGATATTTAATGTATATTAGTAAATTGAAAAAAATAAAATAAAATAACTTTGTATCTTAATACCTAATTTACTAGGTATTTAAATATGCCCATTAAATTTAGTTGCAGCCCTCATGCGGTGAAAAAATCTCATTCTAAATGTCTTTGTTAATTATTTAAATTAAAGTAGCATATTGCAAC